TTGAGACAAAAGTGACAACTGCTCTCTCTTTGGAAGTTTCCGAGGAAGATATCAATATGAGAGTCAAGGTCGAGAACATAGATGATGCCAAGAAGCCCAGCGGCGGGAAGCGAAAGGCAGCTGATAACATTGTTCTTGCTGCTCAAACAACAAAGACACGGAGAGTGTCTGAGCGACTAAAGCGCTGAGATCACAAGGAACCAAATGCTATTCCAACCACCACTTTTGCCGTAGAAAAATATGTCTGTACAACTAACTATTGATTAAACAATGCCAAGTAGTGAACTCATGTGCCAAAGGCAAGATTTGTATAATGGAGATTTAAGATTCGTGCATTGTGGATGTGCATCTATTCAGCAATTCTAGCTATGACTGTTGATACCTAAAACCGTAGTTAGCACAACGGTCCGGTAGTTCAGAGCAAAATTCTTGAAGTTGATTTTAAGGTTGATCAGAAGTCCAGATAGATCATCGAGCTAGCATCCGAAAACACTAGCTCTGACATAAGAGGTACCAGAAAATAAAGTATAACAAATGTGTTGTATCATCATGTGGGAAATTCGGAAATGAGCTGAAAGAGCTGGGACTGACCTGATGTTCACGGTTGATGGGATGAAAGGCGTGTTGAGTGTAAATACAATACAACCTGCACCGAAGTTGGACAAGAAAACATAATTCCAGTCAACTCAAGTGCAAGATGAAGATTGTTGGTTGTTGAAATTGAAATAAAATCTGGAGGGAAACGAAGTGAAGTTTTGCTTAAGAGAAGAAATAAGCGAAGTCCATCACGTGACCCCACACAGGCCCCATCTTTCTCCATCCACACCTATACCCTCTCACTTCTCGATTTTCGATCTTTCATCCACGCCGACAACCGACCAGATTTCCTCCGCCGGACACATCACCAATCCAAAATGGGTCGTCTTCACAGCAAGGGCAAGGGCATTGCCTCTTCCGCCATCCCCTACTCCCGCGCCGCTCCCGCGTGGCTCAAGACCACCCCCGAGCAGGTTGTCGACCACATCTGCAAGCTGGCCAAGAAGGGTGCCACTCCTTCCCAGATCGGTGTTGTCCTCCGTGACTCCCACGGTGTTGCCCAGGTCAAGATTGTTACTGGTATGGAAATCCGGAGAACCTCGACCCAATGGAATCTGAAGCATAGAAATTTTCTAACATTTTCTCACAGGTAACAAGATCCTCCGTATCTTGAAGTCCAGCGGTACGACTCCCTCTGCCCGCATAATCACATCCGTCGGGTGAATAGAACGAGAAACTTGTGAGGACAAGCTTGTCTGGTTCGGTAAAAGAACTATCGGCTTCGAAGCGCAAAATTCTCGTCTCTTTCCCCGACACTGGTTCGCAGAAATGCACCAGCAATTAAGCCTCTGCTTGGTCAAGAACATCTAGACTGACAGAGAGATTTTGGAATACAGGCCTCGCTCCCGAACTCCCCGAGGACCTTTACTTCCTGATCAAGAAGGTAAACCCCACTTCAATTTCCTTTTTCCTTTTTTCCATCCGTGCAGATTATGCTAATCTGGAATCAATCAGGCTGTCGCTGTCCGCAAGCACCTTGAGCGTAACCGCAAGGACAAGGACTCCAAGTTCCGCCTGATTCTGATCGAGTCCCGCATCCACCGTCTGTCCCGTTACTACAAGACCGTCGGTGTCCTGCCCCCTACCTGGCGCTACGAGAGCGCCACTGCCTCCACCCTTGTCGCATAAGCGCATTTTGGGAGGATGAGTGGTTGACGGAGGGAACCCATCGGATCGTCGTGATCGCCGCATCTGGAGGGTCTTTTCTTCTGCTAGATGCAACAAAAAAAGATTACGATTATTTGATACCCTGTTCATCAATGCTTTAGACTTCTTTAATAGTTGTAGGCTAGTCTCGTAGATGGCCATGTGGTAAGTTTATAGCGCAACCGATAGCAACCAGGTCGCTATGAAGTGGGGACTTGAGTTATTTGACCCGTGTGGTTAGTTAGAGCGCTAGCAAACAAGGCTATGTATATTGTGACTTGAATAGACACTTTTAAAAAGATTACATCTATAGCCGTTGCTCACAGATCACACTCAGCTCTAACTTCTCTCGCCACGGCATTGCAAAGCTCAACCTTAACACCAGCCCCCAGTAAAGTATGGATCCAAAGGCGCTGGGTATCACTCAGCCGATCGTTCTCCGACTTGACCTCAGCGAACATCACCGTCCTCGTCTCGTGATTCCAAAGGAACAAATCCGGGATCCCTCCACCACGCTGCTGGTACTCCTGCGCCATAACCTTGCAGATGGTAGCAAGTGCCTCTCCCTGGAAACACTGCACGATCTCAACTAAATCATCTAGATCGAAAGACCAGTCAAGCCCAACAGCGCAGGGTTGCGCCTCCGACTCACGAGCATAAATCTCACGGATGATCCGCTCTGCATCCCCATTCGTGATCTCAACCAACCGGTGATTGATCTCCGACGCACGAGACGGGTAGAAGACATCAGTGTGGAGATCGAGCGGGCACGTCTGAAACGCAGTCTGGAAGACATTGGGTACGTAGATAAACAGGATATCGTAGAAGAGGTAGCCGAACTGTGTTCAAGATGAGAGTCAGCTCAATTTTTCGGGATTTTGTCATGCTGCTCTGTATGGGATAAGACTTACCAGTGTTCGCACAATCCCTCCCTCTGAGTGATACCCCTTCCATCCATGATCGCGGTACCAGCTCAGGCACATACTCTCCACCCTACACTCGCCACCCTCCCTCTCATCAACCCAAATAGTCGCTTTCCCCTTCCGCGGAGAATCACCCGTGTTAACACGGATACCCTCAATTGTCCGCTCAGCCGGCTTGCCTAGCATCACGTGTCCGAAATCATGTTGCTCACGCTTCACCACCCGCAGCGCTTTTTCCAGCTTCGTGATCCGCTTCTGTAAGTCATAGTGAAAGATCAGATGGCACAGGGGGTCTTCCAGTCCGGCCTCGCAGGTCCGCAGTGCAAGTCTCTTCCAATGTTTGCGCTGGGCTTCTTCGCTGCGCCCATCTGCAGACGTAAGCGCCCACATGTAGTGTTCTTCTAGTAGCGCCTTGCGCTGATACCATGCACCACGCCGCGCAGCGTGGAAGAGACGTTGGGCGAGAAGTTCCTCTAGCACCTCGTGCTCGCGTTTATGCTCTTTGAACCGACCAAGCGAGTGGAGACTCTTGTGGATGATTCTTGTGAGCACCCATGCCGGCGAGAACCGGCGTAGATATGCGCCTTCGCCGTTTTCGTAGATGCTGTCTTCTTTCTTTTGTTCCTGCTCGACTAGTTCTTTCCATCGAGGATGGGATTTGTTGGCAAGATCAATGATCTGTTGGAGGGAATCGGTCGTGACTGGGCTTTTTGATTCAAGGATGTTGTCGACTGTAAATTGGGTTTGTATTGCGGATTCAAATTCCAGTAGCGCTTCTCTAGATGAGAAAATGGAATTTGAGCGGCAGACGATATATTCGGGGAAGTTTCGTTTGGTCATCTTGGCTAATATTATTGCTGTGAGAGACTTTTCGGTCCACTCGGTGGAACGATAGAATACCAGGTGCACTCGCTCAAAGAGAGCGCGAGGCACTGGCGAGATCCTGATACATCCACCGGTGTAGTCCAATATCTTCCGAGTGAAATAGCTGTCTCTGTTGTTCGTATCTTTCAGTCCTGTCTGGGTCTGGCTTGTTTCGCGAAGAGCCCCCAGCAGCTCTTTCTTGCTCTTGCCCTGAACCTTGGCCTCCTTTGCAAACACCTTGAGTTCCTCTAGCAGCAGAAGTGACGAAGCCTCTTCCAGCGTTGTGATCACTTCTATGCCCTCCGCAAATCTGAAGCTATTCCCGAGTTCGGAATCAGGCAGCCTCCGGTCCCGCTGTAGGTCCTCGGCCACAGAGAATACATCCAAGACATCGGAGTAGTAGTTCAACCGATTGATACGGTGCCAGGCAGACGTCTTGCGGAGGAACAGTCGGACATACCTGGCCAAAAATTAATTTTAACCATATCCCATGCCGGTCTACTGGAAGACATACAGATACTGTGATTCGTAGGATAGCCTTTGCCACTGCGTGAAGATTTCCTGTTCAGCCTCGTTAAAGAGATGCGATTCCTCATCCAGCACAGTCTCCAGTGCCAGGTTGAATGCATCCACATATATGGAGCTTTTGCCTTTCTGCCAGACACCGTCTCGTAGCCTCACATGCAATCCCACTTTAGTGTCATTCTGTAACGCTTCATACTCCTCGATTGCGTCCTCGTCGGTCTTAATCGCAGGGAGGGAATTCTCGAGTTCTGTTTGACTGTTGGTGATAATCCCTAAATCAACCACTACGGGGGTCTCCCCCAGTGTGACTGAAGGACTCGGACTCGGTGGTGGTGTAATCTCTGTTTCTGTACTAGAATTCACCTTTTCAAAGGTCCGCCGACGTTTCGAGGGACGTTGAGTCTCCCAAAAGTTCAGCAAGGACATGATCTCTCGTATCCATGGATTCAATCAGTCCTAACGACAGGAGTCTCCGAGTAGAGGCAGACACAAACGACGTGTCTCGCGAACAAGTTTCAAACGCGAGATCACGTGCTAGACACTACTCTATTAAATTGTTTGTCCGGTTTGCATATGACATGGATAAAGAGGCATGGGCAAACATATAGAAAGGGAACTGAACCAAAGACGGTGTGAAGAGGAAGGAGAAAGAAATGCCATCTGGACAGCATTCGAAAAGTGCCCAAGTGCAATCTCTAGATGTAAAAATGTTCTTGCCAGTAAGCTCGAGCTCTCCCTCACAACGGATCGACATCTCCGAGCTCCACAGCTTTCGCTCCGCAAACATTCGCCGATTCCACTGTTACGACTCCCACCTCTTCCTAAAAGCTACACCTCACTGGCTCTCAATTAACCTGTGCAGCCTCCTACCCTCGCGATCTCAGACCCACTCGCCTTTCAGCTCCTACCCCCACTACAGCGCCCCAACCAAACCCTACATCTACAATGGGCGAAACAAACGGCTCTGGCTCCAACCCGCCGCTTGGCGATTTGGGCAATATCTCAGCTGGCCAGGTTCGTCCCGGTGGCGCACCAGCGCGCGTCTATCTCAATGAGAAGGTCGTGCCGTATCTGCTTGACGGGATGAAGTCAGTTGCGCGTGAACAGTGAGTTGGGCACTATGGGCAGCTAGCTTTTCTATACTGGGCTGCTGGATGGCTTTGCTGATATCTTTGTCTTACTCTTTTTGTCCTAGGCCTGCCAATCCTCTCCGTGTGCTTGGCGAATTCCTGCTTCAGAAGAGTAAAGAAGTGGAGGGTGAAGCTAATAAGGAGTCGGAGTAAAAAGAAAATTGAACCTTGTAAAGGAGATGGGATTTCTTGGGCGTTTCATGGTGCCTGATCGGCTATTCTAGGATTGATTTTTAATTTTTTTTTACCTTGACTTTTTGTGAAGGCATTGATGACTTTCGGGTTGAAAGCTTGTGGGTGGACTTTGATGTGCACCAAGACGTTCACCATATGATACCCCGGTCAATGTCTACAGCTGTTTTGCTAGTGGGCATAGAAGATCAACAGCAGAAAGGAAAGACAATGAGAATGGAATGATGTCTAAAAAACCGAGGTGGTGATTATCTATCAACCGACTGAAGAACATCTATTCATGTATCGAGTACTCTGTTGTGATATCCCTCATGCCAAATCAGATAGGCCAAATTGTTCAAGTCCCACGTCCTCAAAGATAGAAACTAATTAAGCGGTCAGCTATAGTTGCGAGGTGTATAGACACAGAGTGGGCTTATTGAAGGCCAGACAACAGAAATGTCCCAGTATTCGGGTGTGAATTATTCTTTGTTAAAGACCTGGGTTTCAGTGATCAAAGAAAATCCACACAATCCAGGATTTAAAGACGGTGGGCGGAGGGACTTGGACAAGAGACGACTCATGGGGGAAACTTGGGATGCCCACATTCTTCGAAGTCGTATGAAAATCATGTGGGGGCTCCAGACCAAGCCAAGCTCTTGCAGAAAGCGCACGGTACCATCCAAATATGGAAACCGATATAGACATTCAAGTTTGGAAACTTCACAGAGATTCCTAGATAGGATAAGTGCGTATGTCTTACCCGACCAAATATTCGGGCTTGAACAAGAAATCCAAAAAAGAAGCTAGATGGGTCAGCTTGCGAAACACATCTCACCTTCAATGGCATTGTCAACAATCCAAATCGATAAATGCCAGAAGTCTTAAAGGGTTGAAACTACAAGCGCAAAGTCGACGGCTTTGAATTGGGCGAATGGTTGATCATTCAGTTGTTTAGAGAAGTCGAATACAATCGAGCCGTTACTGGAGATGGTGTGGAGGTGAAGGTGTAGCTGTAGCTGTGACGAATTTGCTGACCCTGAGATAACCGAATTACAGCGCATAATTTTCTGACCCTTTGCTGCTAGAAGTTTTTTTCCCCGAAGTTGCGTCGCGAACAGACATAAAGAGACACATCATCAAGCGACCGAAGTCTGCACCGATGAAGTTGCCGGGTCGTAGCGCTCCAGTTTTTCTTTTTTTTTAAAAAAAAATCGTCGAGCCGAGAGCAATTGAAAAACAAAGACAGCGACGCCCCGTGGCCCGTCGCCCAAATCCCGCATTAAAACAATCCCAGAGACAAAGAAAAGGGGAAAGGGAGTGGGCAAGTTGATGAAACATGGGAACCAGGAACCAGGAGACATCAAAGGCCAGTCTCTGTTCTGGTTAGAAAGCAAGGGGAGACACTTTACCTGCCAGCGTACCGATCCTCGCCACCGCCGCCGCCACCAGGAGCACCGCCAGTGCTGCTGCGTGCTTGACCTTCGTAGGAACGTCCACCGCCACCAGCGTAGGGGTCACGAGCCTCACGGGGAGGGCCGGCAGCATCGAAGCTAGGAGGGTTGGCATCACGATCATAGTAGCCACCGCCACCGCCGCGAGATTCCTCACCACCTCCACGACGTTCATCGCGACTGTAACGGTCATCACGGCCACCGCCGTAGCGGTCACCACCACCGCGGTATCCGTAGTCGTCACGCGATTCACGGCGACCACCATACTCACGGCCGCCACCGCCGCCACCACCGTAGTCACGACGGCCATAATCACGTCCGTAATCACGGCCATAGTCACGGCGATCGTTGTAAGAGTCGTAGCGACCGTAGCGGGAGTAGTCATCGTCGCGACGACGCCAGCCGCCACCGGAGGGGCCACGGCGGTCATCGTAACGGTCACGACGGGGGCCACCTCCACGACCACCAGGTCCACCTGGGGGTCCACCTGGGCCATCTAGAAGAAAGAAAAAAAGAGTCAGCTGATGTGAAGTGCAAGGGGAAGAAATGATGTAACCTACCACGCTTGGGAGGACCGAAGTACTTTCCGGGAGTAGGGGTACGAGGACGGGCACGACGAGCCTTCTCGATGCTCAGGGTGCGTCCTTCAATGACCTCGCCTTGGAGACCCTCCTTGGCGGCATCAGCCTGCTCGGCGGTGACCATGTTCACGAAACCGAATCCACGGGACTCCTTGGTGTGAGGGTCAAGCATGATAGAGCAGTTGTCGACGTCTCCGTACTTCTCGAACAGACGCGAGATGTCGGACTCGGTCAGGCGCGGGTGAATACCAGTGACAAAGAGGTTGGAGCCAGAGTTAATGGCACCTTCATCTTCTTCCTCGAGAGGCTTACGAGCCAGAGGAGCTCTGTGGGTTGATTAGCATTGAATTTTTATCCCAGATTAGACAAATACGTACCTGTCATCAGAGCGGCCATTGGGGGAGCGGCTGCGAGCACGGTCGCGGTCGGCTCTAGGCTCATCGCGAGGAGAGGCGCTGCGCTCGCGCTCATATCGAGGCTCGTCTATTGAAAAAAAGGTCAATATTTTCGAGCGCATCGAGATTATTCCAGAAAAAACCTACCCGCGTAGCGGCTGGAATCGTTGTCGTAGTCCGCCATGATGAAGGGACCGAAGGTGTAGGTTGGAAGAAGGAAGAAAGAGAAGTCGGAAAGCTGATAAGAACGGACGCTAAGCACCGGGAAGTTCACACCCGAGGAATCAGGCAGCAGTGCAACCCGCGTGGAATTTTGGTGAATTGGGTGAATTTGGAGGGATATGGAGAAGAAAATTCTGGGATTTCAATTTCTTTTGAAAATACAACTTCATGCAGGGGGTACCTTGACTATGACAAACAGTTGTGCCAAGACCGAAGCAATCGCCATAACAAAGCTTTATGAGCTCTAGAACTACTACAGATATTCATACAAAAATTAACTCCTAAAATTCAAATGCGCTAAAATCAAATTCGTGAATTCCATACGAATCATGTCCAGAAAGTGATCATCGTGAGCCTCGCAAACGTCGAGTCCGACGGGGGTGATGTTGTGAAGCAGCTGGGGTGCTGGTGGTCTGGCCTTGCAGGTCTCCATCATCAACCAAGTCCTTCAACCCTTCGAGTTCATCCTCATCTAGTTCGCTGAGTTCTTCACTCATTCCACGCATGACATCCCGTCCAGTCCACCGTTCCTCGTGAACAGTTGTACCGACAGGGTCGAATGGCTGCATGTACCATTGAATGCCACCCAAAGCCAAAGGTAACTGCTGGTCTTGCTCGGTCAAGACAGGCGTTGGATGTCGATAGTAGGTCGGAACACTCCTCATGGTGTCTTCAGCGGGAGGCAGCTCTTCTACTTCAGGGTGTTCTTCATATCTAGGCTGGGCTTCCAATGGAAGCTCCGTCATAGGAAGAATTTCTTCAACTCCTTCCATAGCATCAGGGTGACCAGACAGTTCAGTGTCACCTTCCGGCTCGACAGAGTCACCATTGCGCGACATCACACTGTGATCAAGAATCACATCCAGCTCCTTTAACTCCTTCTCGAATGGTTTTCGGTTGAGCTCGCTTTCTTTCCTGATTGCATCTTCCAGGAAAGGCTGTATGACTTTGATTATCCGTTTTGCCAACTTTCTCTTTTCCCGTTGCTCCAGGCTGAGCTCCGGGGCGCGACCACTGATCTGAGCTTGGAGTTCCGCGGTATCGCCAGCGGGCTCCACGCCGATTTCTGAGGTGAAAAGACTGGCCAAATCGGCAGAGAAGGCAGCAACAGACGGATAGAAGCGTTCGTTGAGCCTTTGTCGGATTGAGATCAAGCCTGCTGCAAACACACCCTTTCCATCGAGCCTGGAATAAATTCAGCATAAGTGTTGAAAGAATAGGATGGGCATATCTTACAGTTGAGCTTTCTCAAATATTGGCCACAGCAGTGGGAACGTAGGGAAGTATACAAGGTCGACGATATTACGGAGCATCTCTGCATCCTTCAACTTCTCCCTCTCTCGTTTCTTCACTTCGTCGCATAGCACCTTCAATCGATCGAGGTCCTTGTAAAGTCGCTCACCAAACTCAATGCGACGCTCCAGGCGCTTGTGTCCGGGAACACCCATTGCAACATAGTCTCTTCGTGTCATTTCCATAGATGAGAAGGTCTCCAACTGCAACTGGAGTCGCTTGAGCAATGCTGCTCCACGTCTCGCCTCTCGTTTCAATGTCCAATACTTGGATGCATCCTCGGCATATTGCTTCCTTTGGCGAACCGTAAATCGCCCAAGAGAGGCAATCACTGAATTTAACACAACCTGTGGAATGACTGGGGCACCGGAGGGTAGCTTCCAGATTGTTCTGGGAACACGTTTCCGTTTATTGCCGCCTACCGTTAAGGTCAGGCGAGGGGTGAGGGTACGATCCTCTTCTCCTCCATCACTTGGGTGTGCCGGGCCCATTGAGAGCGCTGCAGCTTGGCTGTCTCCCCATCGTCTACCTTGCATAGTATTGCGGTAGTATTCGATAGCGTCAGCAGTTGCAGCATCGGTGCCATGCTCCAATCGCCAGTCAGGAGGAACGTGCTTGTCGCAGAAAGCCTTGAGAAGGTGGGAGTCCATAAGACCATGGCCAATCTTCATCTTAAGATAGAGTTGAGCTCTGCGTGCACATGAGACATGGAAGGCTACAAAGCAGTTTTTGTTGCTGCATTGAATGGATGCACCCATCCGCTGTTTGCAGATGTAGCAATTCAACTTCCAACGGCTGCGTGGAACCTTTTCGACATCGGTCACCGGCTCCATTAGAGATGGATTACCAATAGAAACTTCAGGGATCCAGAAAGAGCAGAGCAGATGAGCCCATTTAGATGAGGTTGTTTGTTTGAATGCACCCTCGGTGTTTGGACAGAAAATACAATTGGTGGAACCTCTTCCCAGCAACTGGCACTTGCGGCAAAGCCACTGACCTTCTGGGATGAAAGGAACACCATAACACTCCTGATGCACTGCGAGGTCGCAACCATCGCAGAAAACAATTGCATTGGAGTTTTCACAGTCGCCATCATCACAGATAGCACACTTACTGTCTTGTTCTTCACCTGGTCCAGCAGTCTCGCCATTGACCGCAGCTGCAGAGCTAGAGCGAAAACGTCCGGTCTGTGGGGGTTTGGGATTCGGCTTGGGGATACGCTTCTCAAGGGCATGCCACTCCCTTTCGATTTTGGTCATGGTAATCTCAAACACGGCGGGCTTGATGGGTTCAAGCTGATCTTCACGACGCTTGGCATTGTATTCTTCCAACCACTTTTCATCCTGCTCATCCATGTCATATTCGACACGTCCAATTGTGGTGCTAACGTCTCCATCTGTCGTGGTGGGTTGAATGACATCGAGGTCATCTTCTTGGGTGCCTTCAGTCATTCGAATAAACCGCCGGTCATGGCGGAGGAAGAGATCGCTCTCCTGGTATCCCACATTTGCCATGGTCCGATCGACATAGTTTTGGTGACCGACACCCTTCTTCTCATAGAATGTGAAAGGGTCACGTAGTCTGAACGACGGCTTGGGTAATGTTAGTTTCTCACGGGGGTTAGGGCCTGGGGGAGGTATGATCTTTTTTCCCTGCTGGGCAAGAAGGGCGTTAAGAATGGCCTCGGGGCGACGAGGGGGGCGGCCTGGCCTGCGTTTGATTGGGATTGGAGAAGCCATTTCGCCAGATATGATGACTGGTGATCCTGAAAGGTCCGAGACAGTCGCACCAGCCAGTGACTCCAGAGTCAGGATAGGAGCAGAGGTATCTGGGGCATCGACCTCTTCAGACGTGAAGACAGCAATTTTGCCATCGATGTCCAAGTCGGGATGAAACTCTTCCCACCCGCGTTCTTCGCGTGGCTTGTACCCATCGCCTTGTTGAAGAGCAAGGGCGGCGGCCGTGGAAGAGGTGAACCGACCGCGGGTTTGGTTCTTGTCGCGCCTTGGACGCGACATAGAGGGTGGTGTTGTTGGTATGATGGGAGGTGGCGGTGGAGGGGCTAAGAATGGTTGGTCCATCTCACGTGGTAGACGGCTTCGAGCACTTGCGGAGTGGCGTCGGGGATTACTTTTCTTGGGGGGTTCTTGAGCAGCGGCGGCGGCAGCTGCAGCTGCAACGTCGAAATCGATGAATCTTCCTCCTCCTCCAGGACCACCCGGAACGTACTTTCGTTTCTTTGAAGGAGGGCCGTCAGGGGAATCGAAGGGGCCGCTGTTGGATGTTTTGAGAGATGACCTAGGTTTACTGCGTGATGGACGACCAGAGATTGAATTTCGGACACTCGGTGCCATAATTTAAGAGCGAGCTTTCGGGTGTTTATGTTGCTCGTTGGGGATGGTAGTTGTTAATCGGACTGCAGGTCGCGTTCAGAGGCCGACTCAAGCAGCGCCTCCGAAAAGACCAAAGTGGCAGTCTCAAGTCATGCGACAGCAAACTAGAAACGAATGGACGCAATGGACGCAAAGGACGCAAAGGACGCCAGAGCCCGTGGAAGCTGCGAGGCGCGGGTGTTTGGCTATCTGGTCAAGGCGGAGACGCCCCGGCTGTCTGGGCCTGTTGGCCTGAGGCGCCAATCTGGACTTGAAGGGACATAACATCCAAAGCTGTCTCGTGCGAGCTATTTACGACTTTATTCTTTCGATCGAACTTTGGAATTTTCTTTTCTTTTCACATATACTCACAGCATGAGCGGTTCCAGCGACAACAGGTACGCGTTATCCACTCCAAAACACCTCGCTCTTCAGCTTCCCTGATTGTTATTGCCTTCCTAAGATGGCGGGGTGGACCCAGTCGCCAGGCATCGCAGCGCAACTCGAACAGCCGTGATAAATCAGGAGGACAGGGAAGCGCACGTGATAACAATGGTGCTTGGGGTGCATCTAACCCACCGCAGGAACAGCATGTCCCTGTACGGGGCTTCAACAACGCAGAGGTTAAGAACGTTCTGAAAGGTATGAATGTGCACCTAAGCCGCAAGTACAAGGGCTAACCAGGCTTCTACAATACAGCAGGGCCTCACGGTACGTCTTATCGCTACCTCCATATCTATTCAAGCCTAACCCATGCGCCATCAATACAGAAACCAAGCTGTCGATGCCCTACAAATCTCAGTCTAAAGACGGTCCTGCCCAACGATCTACTGCCTGGGGCTCCAAGGGTACAGTCTTTCTTCGATCACCGCATGCCCTTGAACACATAATAACCATATTTACAGCCCAAAATATGGCAAATGGGAAAGACTTCTTCCTGGAGCTTCGAAAACAGGTTGCTTCGCTGCAGCGAAGCGGTCCCCCTGTCGGCGGCTAACCGTCACGATTATGATTTCATTATCTCAAAGTACTTGCATTGCACAGTCGGCCGGTCGCGAGTTTGGTTCGTTTTCATGGGTTGCAACGGCGCATCTTCGATACCCTACTGTGGAGCATGCATGGGTGATGAGTGGACTCGGGAGGCTACATGGCATCGGCGTCTCTGATGATTCTGGGTCTTACATGTCCATAATGCACTATGACTCCTTTTTTTCAAAAGTTAATTCATTGCGATTCATCCGCTGTATCGAGAAATTTGTTGGGATGAGATTGCACTATTTTACAAACGCTATAATGTAGAGAGGGTATGTCACTGATATAAAAGCAGGTAGCCATCCTAATGCAATAATCACTCTTGGATCCAGCCCCTCGGGCCAAGGATACCTCCATCATCGGCCCGTGGGTCAAGGGTCCATTTCCGTACAGGACGACAGCTGAGGTGAGATCGGAAGCCAGCCTCGAACATCTCAATGCCCGCCCATCCAATCATGGCCGCATTGTCGGTACACAAATATGGAGGCGGAGCAACTACCTTGATATTGCCAAAGCCGCGCACTTCCAAGAATGAAGTGAGCACCTTCATGAGGAACTGGTTGGCGGCAACACCACCACTGACAACAAGGGTTTTGATCTCGTTTTTGCCATTATTATGCGGCCGCAGAGTCTCTAGAGCGATAACAGTGCGCGAGGCAAGATGTTCAAAACATACGCGCATGGCTTCCCGGCCTAGATCGACACGCTCTGCATCTGACATATTAAAGTTCGTATCGTTGCTTTCAACGATCTTCCCGACCATGCTCGAAATCGAAGAGAAGCTGAACTGCATGATCCGCGTATTCGCAAATGGAGTCGTAAGAGACCAGCCCCAATCGCTTATGCGCTTGATTATTTCTTTGCCCCGAGATTCTGGAGCCGAGTAATCTTCAAAATCGGCCTTGCCATTAGGGAAAACGAATTGCTCCAGACTCTTGCCGTACATGGTGCTTTGAGCTTCCTGAAGCAAAGACTCAGGTAGGATGTCTCGTGCGGATTTATCGAGTGCCTCCCCAATGGCTATATCCTCGCTTGTAGCAAGAATCCTATGGTCTGTGAGACCATAGGAATGAACTAGAGTTGTATGGCCTCCAGAGACGAGGATGGACAGAAAAGGAAATTCGGGTGTCGTTGCGGTTGTTTCCACATTGGCTTCATTTTCCAGACATGATACGAGTCCAGGTGTCAAAAGATGCGCCTGCATGTGGTGCACTCCGATCATAGGGATCTGCCATGCAACCGACAGCGCTTTTCCAGTGTCGAGGCCAACGGACAGATTTGACCGCATTCCGGGGCCTCGTGTGGCGGAAATGAAATCGGGGAGGCGGCGACGAGTCCCATCCGCCAATTTGATTCCATCGCCTGTTTTTGACTCCGGTAGATAATTAAGAGCTTTCTGTACAAGGGTTGCGAGATTGTCTTGGTGGGATTCGAGGGCGATAATGGGGTGAATTCCGCGATGCGCGCGCGTGTCGGCAGTTATATTTTCAAGAAAATGTATTCTGGCTGCGCTTCCGGGGTCTTTCCTTATTTTCTCGACGATAGCTACCGAGGTATCGTCACTGTTGTTGGCAACCAGTTAGTTGGATAGCTTTTTTTCGGACGGACGTTTACCTCCGCTTACCATGACGTTTCGATTGCCAACGTGAGCAAGCCACGGCGGGAAGTCAAGCACTTCCTCACATTTAGCACCGATCTGCGAAAATTCGCTGCAGGAACTACTAGGAATAACATTGATAACCTGCTTGTCATTCGACCGGCGGCAGGGGCGAAAAAGACCGGACGTGCACGGGCCGGAGAAGCCCTCAAATGGAGCCCTAAAACAGATACCAAAACAGCAATCTATAGTGACTTAGGAGAGCTCCGGACTCATCGCAAAGACTACTACTGGTATTTACTTGGTATTGGAATCGAGGTTGTCAATATACGGCTCATAGCACCGTTGTATTTGCAGTAATGAATGGCTAGGTTAAAACGTTTATAATCAAAAAATCAAAATCATCAATACAGATCCCATCATAACGTCATTAATATATTGTATCTCCAAGGCACTGATATCGTTCTCCCTTGAACAGAGTGTACAGTATGCACCAAAGGCCAAGTCAGCCCAGATCAATGATACTGACGAATTTGGGGCTAGCAAAAAGCGCGAGTGGCAGGCATGACCATCTAGAAACCCATCTTGAGATTTGCTGGATGAGCACTCTCATTCAGCGTTCCGTCATTTCTAGGACTTCATCTGGCAGTTTGAGAGTGTCAATTGCCGGGCATGCGAGGAGCTGTGTGGATCGAGTTGTTCAACAAGAGATCCGAGTGTAGGGCGTGATATCATTGCAAAAGCAAGATATAAACCCCGAGCGATTCAGAAGTACCTGATCACTCTCCATTACTCCAGCTGTGGACAGTCATTAGCGATACAAATCTCGAGCTTGATATCACTGTCGAACTGTCCACCGGCGCTCTTCTCGTGACATCTTCATGTGCTTGCCGTAATATTCGTCTGGGTTCTCAATGGGGGTCACACAGTGAACAGTCGGTGTCGCTTTGAATTTAATACGCTTATCAACAGTGGTAGCGCGCGAGGACGACTGCTTCTTAAGGATGCTCTTCGATGAGCAAGAGTTCGTGTATGCATAGCTTGGAACTTGCAGTAGGGAGAATATCTTGCTGGTCGGGCTCGCCGCCAAGATTGGCGAGACAGGCGTGCGAGGAAGAGCACTTGGTGACTTGAGCGACAGTGTTGGCCGTGGAGCATTCTGCACAGCAGAGATGCTCAAGGACAGCTTTGGCTTAACGACACGGGCAGTAGTGGTGTACATTGTGACGGATGAAGAATCCACGAAAGTTGAAGATGTTATCTGAGTAGGCAAGGAGAGAAACAAATTATTGATGTAGATGTAGAAAAGAGTTGAAGAACTTGGGCCAGCCAAGACGCAAACCAAAAATAGAAGATGCGAAAATAGAAAACAAAAACAAAAACACTATGCAAAACAGAGTCTTCACGGGACAGATGAGGGCGGCTATATACACTTGAGGGGGGGAACCAACGGAGGACTTCTGGCCACCTTCTGCCTAAGCGCCCACTCCATGCACGACGGTGCACAAATCATCACCATCACACTAAAGTTTCGAATTTTACAAAGCTGCCGTCCCATCTAGCCAATGGAAATCCTTACGGAATGGAATTCCCGCCTAGTATGATGTGACGGATGTTAGGATTCGGTGGGGGGTCCAACATGCCATGCAGCCAACTGCGCCTGGAACCACACTCTGGTCTTCCTGTCCATTTGATTCGAAACTCTCGGCCAACCATCATTCAATAGGGAAGGAGGATTGTACTCGCATCGAGTGGATGGCTGCATTTTTGAGTGATATCCCCGCATCATCACAGTAATTAGAAAGCTGATTGGGTTGAAATGGGCATGATCGTACTATTATTAGATATCACATGGGTTTGATGCAGCTCTCAACTATTTTTTCTCTTCACGTTTAAGTCATGAAGACATCTATCCTTAGATTTACTTTTACCGAGCTCAGATACACAGTAAATGCAGTTGTAGCACTTTTGGTCACATTTTGTAGGGAACTTGGGGGGTGTCCCAATATACCCCAGTCCTTACATCACCATGTTCATCTACGTTACATTTTTTTGGTGTGATCGTCCTGGTGACTGTGTTTCCTGGTTTCTCGGATTGAGCACGCACGCTGCAGGAGCAATACTTGAACATGTGTTCTATTTATAAAAAATGCCTCCAAAATCGACATCGCAGACGGATTAGCTGGCATGCATATTAACATCATTTGCTTGATTAGGATGACGCCAGGGGAGAACCTTTTTGATCCTTGGGAGACGAGCGACTAACTAATTCTAAATATATAGACTGGTGACTGGTCTCAGGGCTGAACGGTAAGAACAACTTCAAAAACAAGTATGCAGGACAAGAACGTGTGACAAATATGCTAAGAAGACACGGAAAACTTGGAATAACATACTGAGGTTTGGTTTGCTTCTGAGGCATTTTTAGCATCGGAAGAGATAAATGCTTAAAATTTTTTTTAGGCCCAAGTAGTTTTTTTGGCGGGGATATAACATTCATTTCGGTAGTTTGTTTAGTTTCCTTCATACAACATAGAAGTGATCGTCTTGCAACATGGCACATCGTATGGACTTGCCTTGCCCATACTGATTACCGCAATGTCGGCCGGCTTGGCTCCCGGTGAATCATTTCTGGAGCTTCCAAGGTCCAAGGCTTAAGCTCAAGAAAAATACCTCCAGGGCTGGGAGTTTTAGGTATACCTTTACCCGCAACCCATGACTCCTTCAACGATCCCGTTTTACAATATATATGGAGTTGTAGCCGTCAGATTTCAGGAATTTCTCCAACTCTGATGCAATTGAGCTTTGCTTACGCCCCGAGAACAGTTCACCTGAGAAGAAAGAAAATCTAGATAAATATATACATGAAGATAGCCATCCTAGTCGGTTAAATGCCATTTTCTGCATATCTGATTGCAATACGGAGCAGAGTGCGGAGAAAAAGGGGACATAACGGTACCGGAGGGCTCCGTACATTAAATCCGGAGTTGAACCGAGTCTGGAAGGCCGAGGAGAGGGGAAGATCTGAAGTTGACCAATCGATATAGAATTCTCCAAATTGTTGTTCCCACTGAACTCCGCACCAAGCTCGGAATTGGTTTTCGTATTTTCGTCTTTTCATAAGGACTCACCGGGTCCCTAAGAGCCATGTGACATGTTGAACTCCGGTTTCTTCCTCAGTTTCTTATTTGCTTTCAAAGTCGCCTGCTGACTGTGTAATTTTGGGTCTCTGTGCCTGGATTATATAGTTGGTTCAGGCCCCTAGATACCGTGGCTCATGGTGTCAAATACATGCCATCCCAAGGAAAAGACGGGATGAAAAGTGGCTCTCGAATTATAAGAAATACCATAATGAGGCCAATATAGGGATTTTATATGGGATTCTAAAGGTATCCAATAATGCGGAGATCGGTGAAAGGGAGACTCTGATTCAGTCCGATCTGCCCGGGTAAATAACGCCATGGAAAACAAGGGATAGCTTTAAAAAAAAAATTCAACGTGGCCAAGACAAGGCATGAAATAAATTAAAATGTTTAACACCAAGTCTATTTGATAATCCATAATTATCTATTGCAATACGAAGTACTGTGAGGAGAAGGCCGAAAACTTTGTCAAGTGGGCTCATTTCATTATATTATCATAACTTCATAACTTTTCTATTGACTCAAATCTCCCCTTCTCCACATCCCTCGATCCCTTCCTTCCCCCGGGTTTTCTCTTTTGTGCTGTGGATTTTTGTCGTTTAATACTCAAAAGTTAACTTGGACATACACAATGGCCAGCGTAACGGAAGTTGTGAAGGAATCACTCCTGGGCAGCACAGAGGCACCTCACTTGTCCCACCAATCGCGGGCGAACTTTGTCCGCCATGCGCAAAAGGACGAGAACGGTGACCTCTTCATGGACGAAGAGAACTTTATTAATGCCGTGGCACCCAAACAGGAAGACTATGTAAGTGTCACCAGGGACCGCAAAGGTACTGAAATCTTCGCAATTGCTGACCTGGTTTCTTCCAAACAGCACAAGATTAAGCGCGAACAATATGGCATTCTTTTCAGCGTTGCAGACCGACGGAGAGCGGGCAAGCTGAATATTTCCGACTGGGCCTCCTTCGAATATCTCCTCGCGAAGCCCGACGCCGAGTACGAGATCGCCTTTCGTCTCTTCGACTACGATGGAACTGGCAGCGTCAAATTCGATGCCGTGCAGGGATTGTACAATATGAACAAGAGTGCTGACAGCATTCCCTTTGATTGGAACTCAGAATGGGCATCGCTCTACGGAGGCCGCTCCAAGTCTCGCCATGACATGACCTACCCCCAATTCGCCCAGATGCTGCGCGGTTTGCAGGGTGAGCGCATCCGCCAAGCTTTCCACATCTTCGACAAGGATGGTGATGGCTTTATCCAGCCCGAGGAATTCCAACGCATTATCCTCGAGACCTCAAAACACAAACTGTCCGACCATGTCCTGGAAAACCTCCCCACTCTGTGCAACATCTCGACCAGCAACCGCATCTCATATGCCAATGTCCGTGCTTTCCAGAACATCATGCGCGAGATGGATATCATTGATTTGGTTGTCCGCGAAGCAACAAAGAAGAGCACCGATGGTAAGATCACTCGTGCCGACTTCCTTAACGAGGCCGCTCGAGTCACCCGTTTTTCCCAGTTCACACCCATGGAGGCTGATATTCTGTTCCACTTCGCTGGACTGGATGCGCCTTCGGGACGTCTCTCTCAGAAAGACTTCGCCAAGGTCATTGATGCTTCATGGCGTATCCCCGTGATCGCTGTAAACCAGGCCTTGTCTACTGGACATGAAGTTGCCGAGAAGACTAAGAGTGTGCTTCACAGCGTTCTTGAGTCTGTACACCACTTTGCTTTGGGTAGTGTTGCTGGTGCCTTTGGTGCTTTCATGGTCTACCCCATTGATTTGGTCAAGACCCGCCTGCAGAACCAGCGTTCATCTCGCCCTGGCGAGAGACTGTACAACAACTCCCTCGATTGCGCTAGGAAGGTTATCCGCAACGAGGGTTTCACTGGCTTGTACTCTGGTGTCATTCCTCAGCTGATTGGCGTGGCACCCGAAAAGGCTATCAAGCTGACTGTGAACGATCTCGTTCGTGGCTACTTCACAGACAAGGATACCAACCGGATCAAGTACAGCCGAGAGGTTCTGGCCGGTGGAGCTGCTGGTGCCTGTCAAGTCGTCTTCACAAATCCCCTTGAGATTGTGAAGATCCGTCTTCAGGTCCAAGGTGAAATCGCAAAGAACGTTGAGGGTGCCCCTCGCCGCTCAGCCCTCTGGATTGTCAAGAATCTGGGCTTGGTAGGCCTGTACAAGGGAGCCACCGCCTGTCTCCTTCGTGATGTCCCCTTCTCGGCCATCTACTTCCCCACATATGCGCACTTGAAGTCCGACTTCTTCGGCGAAACCGCTACAAACAAGCTCGGCGTTGTCCAGCTTCTCACCGCCGGTGCCATCGCCGGAATGCCCGCCGCCTACCTCACCACACCATGCGACGTCATCAAAACCCGTCTGCAGGTCGAAGCCCGCAAGGGTGAAACCAAGTACAACGGTCTCCGCCACTGCGCTGCCACCGTCTGGAAAGAAGAGGGTCTGGCTGCCTTCTTCAAGGGTGGGCCCGCTCGTATCATGCGTTCTTCACCTCAGTTTGGTTTCACCCTGGCCGCCTACGAGGTCCTGCAGAAAACCTTCCCCATGCCTGGTGAGGGCGAGGCCATCACACCCACCGGCCACGTCGAGCCTAGTGTTGGCGGACAGGGTGCTAAGGCACCTCTGCCTTACCTCCGGTCAAGGAACGCGCTCAAGCTTATCCTTGACCTTGACCAGAACATTGGCCGGGTACAGGTCCCACGGTCTGAGAACTGGCCCAAGTTCCTGCAAAGCACGAAGTAGAGAGGCTTGCTGTTATCTAGTGAACCAGGCATTTCCGGTTTGTATTTCTTCGGTTCTTTTTTACTAGCGATATGTTTCTCATTTTTCATTTGGTTAAGGTCTATCTTTCCTTCGGTTTAGCATGAGATCTTTCTCACACTTCTTTCGGATTCTTGTCATATCCCGCCCTCTTTGTTGTTTAGTTAGGCTTGACTTGGGATGTGCATTCCCCCCCCCTTTTGCATCGAGACCACCTTTGTTTGCATTGTATCAACAGCAAATAGATTTGGAAAGAAGGTGTGTGGGTTGTCTTAGAGGGCTCTGATTATGGTGTATGTATCAATCTAGATCTGGATTGGGTTGATATTCTACTGTTTTGTCATGTGAGGTCTAAGCCTGGACATGTGTAGTTTGTGGTTGATCCAAGTCATGCCTTGAGAGCAGATCAAATCCGCTCAGGCCAGGGAATAATTTTGGTGCATTTGATCTTGTGATCTGCACTTAACTACAATGTATATTCTGGCTTTTGAGTTGGTCAATCCAGGTTGGGAAAAGTTTGTATATGAAGCAAGGGTTACAAGCTCACAAAAGGGTATCGGAATCTACTCCCAAGGAAGGATTCCCTGTACAGGTAATGTTACATTTATACCTTTGAGGATATATCGGTCATGGACTGGGCCCATGCGTGGTAAAACCCCAGTTATCGCGGATCGAAAGAAATCCCATGGTGATCCAGAAGATCAATCCGACATCATTGAGGTCGTCCTTGATGAAGACCATCTTTTGACCCCATTCAATAGAACCTAAGCTTTCGCATAGACTCTGTCTTAACAGGCTCCTCGGTGACTTGGTCTTCCGAAGGCTGTGCGGGCTGCTTTTGTTCTTTCTCGGGCTCCTGGACCTTCTCTGTTTTTGACTGGGCCGTCTTCTTCTCATGCCATAGGGAATCTTCGGCTTCAATATCGCGCAATACTAGAGAGAAATAGTCAGACACCAATCATAGAATAGAACAGCCGGATATAGGTTAATATACCTTCATCCCACTCTCGTTCCTTTGCCTCATCGCCGGTTCCCAGCAACTTCTCCACATCCACCTTTTCTCCACTCTTGACTCGTGCAATAATCTCTGCTAGAAGCTCGATCTTCGCATCCGTCGTCCGAGTATACGCCGCATAACCGTTCTTCAAAGTAAGCATGCGAATGGCCTGCGAGCCGATCAATGTGAACATGATGATGTAGAACGTCGCCGGGTTCCATTCTTTAGATATTTCTTTCGCAGAGTCCTTGCGCGCTCTGCCACGCCGAAGAAATCGGGGAATCATTGCTGTCCATACTGATGTGTTTGCGATCTTCGGAAGATGATCGGAGGTCGAATATGAGCGCCCAGACGGAGCGCGGCATTGTTTGGTAGCATTTAGAGTAAAATATGCGGAAGATATCCGTCTGCTAAGCACAAAGGATCTGAATCCGAAAGCCATAGCCTCTGTTTGCGTCTAGGAGCAACAGTCGATCTTCAGAAGCGGGAAAAGTTGAGGTCGTGAATGCCTGAGGCGATGAGGCTGTGAACGCCCAATAAGGCATAGCGTTGTTGTTGCTGCGACAACCTCCGTTTAAAGTGTCCGGCCGATAGCGATTGCACATCAAAGGCTCGACGCGAGCGATAACCTCAGTCCTGCAGCTTCAACAAATCGACAAAGAAAATGGCGGTCACCGTCCTGCCGGCCAGCTCTCTAACAGAGTCCATGAAACAGGCCCTCCGCTCAACGACAACATGCTCCGACGCTACCGTGTTGTCCCTCCAAACACTCCTCCGCGGGTCGCCAAAGATGCCCGAGAAATCCACGAAACGCACAAAATCTACAAGAGAACCAGCTCCGGCGCAGAGTCGAACGAGAACTTCCCGCGCAACAAAGACAAAATCTGCGAATGATACGACGCTGCAATCACTGGGCGATTACGACGCGGCAGCGTTGTCATGTCAGGAGAAGCTGGTCTTTGCTACGGAAGTATTCAATACCACATTAAAGACCCTCACGGATGCCGCAAAGATCAATGCAGCCAAGCGCCAGAACGCTACCCCCGATACTGCCAATGGCCCCGACGCGGGCATCATCTCGGCTGCGGAGTGCGCCAGGCTTTCTTTGTCCACACTGCGCACTCTCAAGAATGACGTAGGGAACGAACAGTTCCCGAACATGCAGCTTGAGCAGGGCTTGTGTGTTCTTGCGGGAAAACTGATCTCCCTGGGGCTGAATGACATGGCATACAAAGAGCTTCGACTTCTGAAGCGGAGAATCCAACAACATCTGGATGGCGGGGAGGCCAGGAAGAAGACTACAGAAGCGAAGGACGTGGTGGATGAAGAAGCCTTAAAAGAGCGGATGTCGGATCTTTTGACGTTCTCTCACATCTCGAACGCGAAATCGCTGTACGGCCTGCTTGTCCCGTTTCATTCGAATGTGATGCGTTTATTTGCTGCGGAAAGAAGAGCCTCCACAATCCAGAAGGTCTGTTCTTCTTTGCAACTTTCTAATTCGAGCAGCCCTGCGCAAGTAATTTTGGCTGCCCTGAAGTCGGGTCAACTCTCGAACGACAAAGCCGCCCTTCAGCTCCAGTTACTATCAAACACAGTTCTTGCGCTTTGCTCGGGGCCATCTTTCTCCAAGGATGAAGTCTCGAATAGCCTCAAGCCAACAACATCACTGGCCTTGCAACTGCTCTCCCTCGAGATTCGATGCTTGGGCTGGAAGCTGTCTGGTCATGTCTGCGATGAGAGCAAAGAAGTGTTAGATCCTTTGATTCGCTATTTTGGTGGCTTTTCTCGCCGGAGTAAGGGTATTGAGAAAGTCGAGTTTGCTTCCATCTACCAAACGGTTACCCTGCTGCAAAGATCTATTGCAGAGGTCAGGAAGAAGCCCTCAGAAACCCAAAATGCCAACCAGGCTGCCAAGCTCATGACTATTCTCGGGCAGCTCGCTTTCGACGCGGGGTGTTTTGATGAATCCATGAAGCTGTTAACACAAGCCATAAATCCCCTCTCAAAGACCCAGTCTCTTTCGCTGGCAACCGTTCGTTGTAAACTTGCCTCTGTTCATTTCCAAGCTTCGAAGATATCGAAAAAGTTCCTGGACAGAGCTTTGGATTCTGTGTCAGAGGCGACTCATTCCCTGGGGTTGCAATTAAGAGGCAGTGCAAACGACCTAGACGAACTGCTGGTAGAAGCTGCAAGACTGAAGAAGTTGGCTTTTGCGTGGTTCGGAGAGGTCATCACAAAAAGCAACGAGACAGAAAGCGAGAAAAACGAAATTTCTAGGCAGATCAGGGAATATCTACAAGCGTTCATCAGGTTCCTTAGACGATATGTTGGACGCCAACCAGCAGATGATGGTGACGAAATAGAGATTGAGATGTTCAACAAACGCATTTCACTTTCTAGAAGCATTATTCTAGCTGCCATTGATTCGACTGTCGCAATTGGAAAACTTTCTATCATGTCCCAGAGGCCACCTTGGGAAGAAATGCTTCCAATCCTGGCTGATTGCCATCGCCTGCTTTCGACTATCGAATCCCCCGATGAGAAGAATACTGAAGCAACAGAAAACATAGGGTTTGCACTTGTTAAACTTTCAAACTTGTTCTGGTCTCGATACATCAAAGAAAAAGAAGCCGGACAGGGTTATCGGGAACTCATACCCCTTCTCAAACAATCCACCCAGCTACTTTCAAGCTGCTCACCCTCTCAACGCAACACGGCATTTGCAGCCCTCAAGTTCGAGAGAATGGCTCATTTGTACATCGAAGGCAACATGTACATTGAATCAGAGCAGATGTTTCGACAATCAATTGAAGAGTACATTCTCTCAGGCACTCTAGACCAGATTGTGAAGAGCAACGGAGGACACAATCCAAATTCGGTCAACCAGGATCCCAAGAGTCCCGGTTTCATGCTTGGCCGTGTATTTTCCGCCCTACTGAAGATGAAGTTACGCAGGAAGGGATCTCATCCCTCTGTTGTCTATGATGATGTTGAACTAGAATTTGAACAGAGATGTCTTCTAATCGAATGGCAAATGAGCTTGCTTGTTGAAATGAATGGCTATCTCTCAAACGAAGAAGAGTTTCGCTTGATTCTCGGCTCGGCTGTTTCCTCTCTCCTCGACCTCTACCCCCCTGACGTCTACCCTATTCGCCGTTCTCGTGTGATTCTCTCTGCCTTGCGGCTTCTGCTGGAGCAGCCCACTGCGTTGGATTCATCTTTGGTTGAAACTCTGCTCGATGCAGGAACAAAGGCTTTGGCCAGCGGTTTACAAGTCCGAGATGACATTGATCTCGCTTCATTTGCAATCCATTTTAGCAACTCATTGCGCATTATCATCGGCTTTCACCGCGGCAAGATTGACGCAAGCGAACTAGATGATACGCTTGCATCGTGGACTTCATTAGTGAGCCAGTCCCATGACTGGAAAACACTGCTGCTCTGCATCAATGACATGGAGTACTGGGTCTTGCAGTTAAAGGCCCTGGTTGATTATACCGAAATCCATGGGCTTTGGAAGGCTCAACTATGCACTCTGGAACTGATATTGCGTGCCGCCGAGCTTCAGCAATCAGGGGATTTGTCAGATCCCATCGTCATTCTATCGCGCTTGGTACTTCAGAATTGCCGCCTGGGTTATTGCCAAAAGGCAGGTGAACTCCTATCGCGCGGTGAGCAGTATCTTGCTCAAACCAAGGTTTCTTCTCTCGCCACCATTTCCTACAAAGTTGCACGGGTGGAATATCTTCTGGAGACCGGCGAGCCCGAGAAAGCCGCCGCTGTTCTTTCAGCAGCCCGCTCACTCTATGAAAAGTGCCAGAAGTCAGAAGAACTAGGCAATTTGACTGTTTTGTCAAAGATCTCTTGGGAAAGACTGGTAGCAGATGCCGCTTTTGTTCAGTCCAGATTGTTCTCTGCACAGGGCTCAGCAACCCAGGCTCTGTACTTTGCAAAGTTGTCTGTAAGGCTCAACTGCCGCATCTGGGCCAAGGTTGAGAGGCTCGCCCAAAGAAAGCAAGACAAGTTGTTGCCTGCTGCAGGAAGATCTGATATTGAGTTTGTTGCTGATGGTATCGCGAAGCTTGATTTGTCACGGAAAGGGTCTTCATCGGATGTGTCTGCTAGCTACATCCAAGGTGCGCCTTTCTGGCCGCATCTGGGATCCCATCATACCTGCCTGTTGAACCTCGCCACATTATCTGCCCATCATGGCTTGTTCCAGGATGCTATCTACTACGGCGAACAAGCGCTGAAGATTGATAAAACCCTCGATGCCAATGCACGGCTACTTGCAGCGCAGACCCAACTCGGTTGCCATTGGATTCTTAGCGGCCACATGAGTGAGGGACAAGGTCTTCTTTTCGCAGCAGCCGAGTCGTCTAAACAAACTCAGAAAAGTATTGAAACCGTGTACTTGCAAATGGGACTTGCGTCTCTGTACAAGATGCAGGGCGCACATGACAAGGCATTGCGTGTTCTTCTTGAAGCAGACAAAATCACCACAGCGGTCATCTCTGCTGATGTGCCTGCCAACTTGGAGGCAGAAGGCATGGCGGAAATTGAAGAAAAAATGGACAAGTTACGGGTTAGAGCAAGCAGCCGGCGAACCCCGACACCTACTACAACTACCACGACTAGGCGGACCCGTGCAACCAGTTCCGCTACTGTCAAACCCACAAAGAAAGTCCCAGCTCCAAACCCAACTCTGCCCGAAATCCAATCTAAATCCATATTACAACTGAAGGGCAACATCCTCAGACAGCAGGCGGATTGCCTGCGAGAATTGCATGACTTTGAGGGATCTGCGCAAATACTTGCAGAGGCTAGACAATTTGCCGTGGCTCGAGAAAGCAAGATCAGTCTGGAAATTGGCGAAAGTGAGCACCTGTTGGCTGATGCAATTCGCCGTTTCGCTAGCCATGCCGTGTATTGCGTCTTACCTGAATCTACAATCTCGCTGCCGTCACTTAAAACACCAAGCAAGATGGCAGATGAGCCTAGCTTGGTCCCGGCAAAGCCTTCGGCAAGGAGAACGAGGGCTCCAGCCAAATCAACGCGCACCAAGGCCCAACGAGCCAGTGATGACTTTTCGGTCATGCTGTCCAAGGCAAGCGATTGTCTTGCCAGTGTCTTCTCTGATGCCACAATTCTAGGCTCAACCCTTGATAGCCATGCGGCATCTCGCTTGATGAGTCGGATCTCTATGCTATCACATGCGACTTCTCCCGGGATCCCAGCGACTCTGGCTCAGTCGCCGGCAAATATGAATGGTAAGGTTTGCGAGGTCCTTTCTGTTTGACATACATCTGACTTTTTGAAATAGAGATCGGACGTGTTGGCGCATTTGCCCGGGAGCGTATGGCGATTGATATCGATCGACAGCTGGCTGATTTTGCCGACCCTCTTCTATGGCCAGCTTCGTTCCCCTCCGCTATCGAGCTGGACAATGACCTTTGCTCCAACTTCACACAGGACTACGTTGACATTCTGCCCGAAACTTGGAATGTTCTCTCTTTGTCATTGAGTGCAGACCATACCGAATTTGTGGTTTCACGACTTCAGAAAGGCCACTCACCGTTCCTTCTCCGTCTCCCCCTCCACCGAGGAAACTCAGAAGATGACGATGAAGAACAGTTCACTTTTGAGGATGGAAAAGAGGAAATGCAAGAACTCATCAAGCTCGCCAACGAAAGTGCACATGCAGCCAAGGCCCAGACGGACAAGTTGTCGAAGAAGGAATGGTGGAATACCCGCGAAGCGCTCGATCGTCGGATGGAAAGTGTGCTCCAAAACATTGAGAACATATGGTTTGGAGGGTTTCGAGGTGTGTTCTCGCCGCTGTCGAGAGAGACCACTGCGCTAGCCCGGTTCGCGAGTACCTTCCAAAGCATCCTTGACAAGCATCTTCCTTCTCGGCAGAAGGGTGGCAAGGCCGCTGGACCCCGGCTCACGTTACATCAGAATGTAGTGGACTTGTTCATTGGGCTTCGTGATCTTGAAGAGCATGAAGAGCCTGAAGACACGCTGATGGACCTTCTTTACTTTGTCGTGGATATTCTGCAGTTTCAGGGCGAGCGCAATGCCTACGACGAGATTGACTTCGACATGATGGTCGTAGATACTCTTGATGCCTTGCGAGGCTACCACGAAGCTGCGCGGGATGAGCTTGTGGCACGGCCGCCGAAACACACAATCCTAGTGCTCGATAAAGCTCTCCACCTGTTTCCGTGGGAGTCACTTCCATGCCTTCAAGGATACCCTGTCTGTCGCGTCCCATCCCTCGAATGCCTTCGGGACCGAGTCCTCCAATTCCGTAAGGCATCCTCCGGGGCCATGGTGGACCGCAGCTCCGGTGCATTTGTCCTGAACCCGACAGGTGACCTGCGCACAACGCAAACAACTTTCGAACAAGACCTCTCCCAATTCAAATCCTGGACTGCAGTCGTGCAGCGCGAACCAACCGAAGACGAATTCCGCAACGCTCTGGAAAAGAAGGGTCTATTCCTCTACTTCGGCCACGGCAGCGGCGCACAGTACATCCGCGGCCGCACGGTCAAGCGGCTCACACAATGCGCTGTCACTTTCCTCATGGGATGTAGCAGCGGCACTTTGACCGAAGCAGGTGAGTATGAGCCCTACGGCACGCCGATGAATTATCTCCATGCCGGTAGCCCCGCGCTCGTGGCTACGCTGTGGGATGTCACGGATCGGGACATTGATCGGTTTACCACGACTGCCTTTGACGTATGGGGTTTGGTCGAGAAGAAGGATAAGACGGAACGGAGCCGAGGGGAGCATGTTGGGCTTGACACGGCAATTGCGCGTTCGAGGGGTGCCTGTGTGTTGAGGTATCTCAACGGCGCAGCGCCTGTGATTTACGGAGTTCCGGTGTTTTTAGAGTGAATCTGAGCTCATCTTTCTTGCTTTCATCATTTTGTATATATCCCTTGGCGTTGTCCCCACTGTGGGCAGTAACCTGATTTGACTCTTCCATAGTCAGCCTTTTCAAGAGGTGCTGTTAGTACTCCGTAGACTAAAAAAGGTCCACCTATTGTGTTATATCTCAAGTTGCAGATACTAGATTATAAAGTATTGACTCAACAACTCCAAGTCTACCCAATATCACCACCAAGGTACATGGAGTATCTATATAATTCTACCAAATCCGAAATAGGAAGAATAATCCCACCGAAGTGGACCTGTTCCCCTCATGCGGGACAAATCTTCCCCCCCCCCACCTTATAAACGTCAACGTCTCCCGATTCTTGGCCTTCTTTTTTCTTTTCTCCCTAAGATAAATCAATTCCTCAAAATGTCCGTCACCACAAATGCAACCATCGCCTCCTTCGGTGGCAAGCTCCTAAAGTTAAGCCATGCCGCCACAACCACAAAATGCGAGATGAAATTCAATCTCTTCTTGCCCCCACAGGCCCAAACACAGAAAGTCCCTGTACTCATCTACCTCTCCGGTCTGACATGCACCGCCGAGAACTGCTCCGAGAAGGGCTTTTTCCAGCACAGCGCCAGCAAGAAAGGAATTGCCGTGCTGTACCCTGATACTAGCCCACGTATGTGTCGACCTTTCTTTTATGGCATCAATTGCCGATCTTTCCATCAATTCAAGTTCTCTTGTTGAAAAGGAGGGGGGAAATGACTAATTAACCAATCTCCTAGGCGGCCTCAACATCCAAGGTGAGGACGACGCATACGATTTCGGATCTGGTGCCGGCTTTTACGTCGACGCTACCAAGCCCCCCTACAACACCGGCTATAACATGTATAGCTATGTCACCGACGAGCTGCCCAAGACCGTCTTTGATGCATTCCCGCAGTTGGATGCCAGTCGTGTTAGTATCACCGGCCACAGTATGGGTGGGCACGGTGCTCTTACTTTGGTAAGTTGTAAACGACCTGTCATGTCCAGATTTTCGCTACATGGCGCAAGAGCTAGAAAGAACATCGCTTGTTGGGGTATCATTTATCTAACCGACCAATCAGTTCCTCCGCAACCCGGGCAAGTACAAGTCCGTCTCTGCGTTCGCGCCGATCACGAACCCGACGAACTGCCCCTGGGGCCAGAAAGCGTTCAAGGGCTACTTTGGCGAAGATCAGCAGGACAAGTGGAAGGAGCACGATGCTACCGAGTTGATTAAAAAATGGACTGGGGGTCCGTTGGATATTCTGATTGATGTGGTGAGTTTGCTTTTTATCCTGTTTATAGTTTTTTTGGGGGGGGGGGGGTTTCCATCCAGATTTTGTCTCGTACAACGTCTAATCCACATCCAGGGCACTGGCGACAACTTCTACAAACAAGGCCAACTTCTACCGGAGAACTTCGAAGTTGCAGCCCGTGACGCAGGAATCTCCGGCTTGAACATTCGCTACCAGCCTGATTATGACCACTCCTATTATACCATGGCTACCTTTGCGGATGACCATGTTGAGCATGCGGCCAAGTATCTCTTTGCATAGTGTGTGCTCTCCTCTTAACTCCTGATCTAAACTATGACGTTTTACTTCTTGTCTTGCGTATTTCTATTGTCACCTGGATCTGATTGGTTCTTTTTTTTTGGCTCAAGTGAGCACCAGGTTGTTAGATCGATGATTTAAATGAGCGAGGAATTTTTTTTAATGGCAAGGCATGCCCTAGTTCTGGTTGATTTTAACCGGCGTGCAAATTCCACCAGTCTAGAATAAGAGGAACGGCGTTTGTTCTTGACTCCATCTGTAATTTAAATTTCATAGGGAGATCTTTTGTGTGCACTGGTTTATCTTCATTGCTTTCGACAAATCTCAATATAGTAAAGGAGTTGAAGCATTTCTGAGATTGAAGTCATTCGGCTTTTAGTTGACGTACGTTCAGGTCTTGAGCAGTGATCAGCCTGAGAATTCTTAGATAAAGTACATTTTAACAAACAAACAGAGGAACTAATCAAAAATCTACCAATACGATAGTGAACACTCGCTGATGATAATTCACCCACTAACGAAGAGTAAACTCATGCAAATTCCAGTTCTTTCTCACTATAGTCACTGCAAAACGAGGCCTCATGATCTTCGGCATCGACATATTTAGTCGCTTGCCAGGATCAAAACATGTCATCTCCGAATCGACAACCAATCGTGGCATTCTTAGATAACGAGCAACCTTGAAGACTTCTTGTGCCTGGGGGTTCTATTTATGCCATGGATCGACCAATCATCTTACAACACTAACCCAAGGTTATCTTGTGCCAAAAAATTCAGCTAGGGCAGGAGCGACTTACATCGATCTTTCCCGAGATAGCTTTGATGTCTTATTCAAGGACTAGATCCGTCAATTTGCAGATTTCTTTGCCCTCCGTTAGGCCTATCCAGCTCCTGGTGTTCTCGTTGAAGAGAGGGCGTATAGCGTGGACTCCAGCTTCACCCGCCACAACCGTAAATCTTATCAGTTGCTCACCGTAGAGATTGATTGTCACAGATTCCCCTGGGAGCCGATACTCAGGAATGAGGGTTGGCCTTCGGGGATCTACATTCAGCAGGTTCAACCCAGTAATGTAGGTATCTGTTCCCTCGTGAACGACTGACACGCCTAAATCGATGATGGAGCCTTCTAACAGAACCACTTGAAAAATGGGGGTATGCCATCTCTATCGCATCGGAGTCCAGCAGAAACCTCCTTCCAGGATAATTCGCCAAGCAATCCCTAGTTGGAGTTGGAGATGATCTGCTCGTTCGAAGCTCTTGTCATCGAATGTCTTTCTCTTGGCCATCCGTTGTTATTCTATCTTCGACGTGCCGCCTAGAGGTGCTGATGAGATTGATCATTTTTTGCTGTACAGCGGTATATGAGTCGCTAGTCTTTGCTTTCATTGTTTCTGGGGGTCTGATGCCAGGCAGTTCAGAAACACCCGATCTCCATTCACTGAAAATCTTGATTTCCAGAATGACTGAAGTTCAAAGACAACCACCATTGCTCGGGATGACTATCGTGGACTTAGGAAGTCGACAGTAGAACCGTAAATTGCGATTTCAATTCGCATCTCGATCGGAAGGGTGCCAAAGCAGTCCGGGTGAAGCACTACGCTGCTTTTAGAAGCAGAGCAGTTTGCAGCTTTCGGCATCTTCAGAAATTGTTTCGCGGCGTCCCGAAGCCTACAAAGGGTATAACCGTTGCTGCGTACGCAGTTGACGGATGTCTGACACTAGGTCGGTCAAAGAAGCTGAAAGCAATGTCATCATTCTCACTTCCAATGATACTCGGCTCTACCCGAAGGAGGAATGTCCCTATAAACACTTCAAGAAGCCTGTCTAAATCGATATTCCTCTCCTTCAAATTGCGGGACCAAAAGAAACCAGCAGATCTCATGGGGTAAGAAAGTTTGGGGGGAGCTTTTTCACGTGCATGGTATACCAACGGCCAAGCATTTTAGGGTCCCCGTCTTCTTCTTTCGTCTTCTAGTCAAACTCGGTTTTATAAACATCTGACAACTGGGTCTCGCTTGAGGTCGAATATGCTATGGCGGATGAGTTCGGTGCAAGAAGAGTTGTAACATGATTACACTCACATACTCGGTATCTTGCCATCTAAGGAGGCTTGGCCCAAAGGAGTGATCCACAAGATACGCAGTGACAAGAATATTCAGTCATATCCATAACGAACCTTCTCTAGCCAGATTCTTACTTGAAAACGAGAGGCGAATCATCTCATTGGAATATCTGGGGGCGAAGATCTACAAATATTCCAATGCCTAAGAAGGATCATCACGACCCTTGACACATGGGGACTCGTTACTAGTATGATGACTGATGTATTTAAATCCTGAGGAGTTTTAGTTTGAGACACTGCCAGTGATCCTAATGGCTCTATAGGGCAGAGGTCGATTACAAAGTTGAGTCTGAAGATTGCTGCAAATCTCCAAGGGGTGCAGCGGAAGGCAGAAGTCATTGCGAAGAGTAATGGCAACAGTAGAGATGTGTTACAGGACAGAGACCGCCCAACTATTTCAAGATTCCTGTAAGTCATAAGTTAATAATTTGACTACTAGTACACTGGTGTAGTTATAAAATAGTCTGTCAAACTTTGGGCAACTCCACTTCATGGGCTACCTACTCCAGTCCGAACCCACTTAAGCTCAAGGAAACTCAACAAAAGACCCGAGAATTATAGTAAACACCATTTTCGTCTCAATTTTTGGAGCCAGCAAGAGAGAAGAGGGGAGGGGGGAGGATACGTCGTTGAGTAGTGGGCGGTGGATACAAATGAAATCACCATGGGCACCAGGGATCAAGAAGTAAGCTATATACTCGGAACTTTTTGAAAATCAGGTGAATTAATTTTTTTTTCCTTTCAGAGTTGCCCCCCGAGAGTTTGATCCAGCACTATTCTTGGGGTTCAAGTTGGGCAGGTATGGTATTGGGATCGGGATACTGGGATGATATGAAGTAGATGGTATAGAAGATGGCGAAGTCACAGGGCGATATGAGGAGAGACGTCACCTCGGTCGCATCAAAACGTAAATAAGGAAAATGGATGGGGGAATCTAGAAAGCAGATAGAGAGGAGAAAAGGAAACTTCATGCGCTCAATCGTTGGATGAATGACTAAAAGTTACATGTTAGTTGGATGCCATGTAGATCAAAAGGTAGATATTAGGGAAGTAGCACATACCGGGAAGAATTGCCGGAACCCCTTCACGTCCAGCTGGCTCAATGCGGTTAGGAACTCTTCGATGAGATCGGCTCCCATGCCCATGCCGGGCAGTTCCTGGTTGCGCAAGTATTCCGCATATTCCATGCCCGTCTTAGAGTAGATAGTGCGTTGCAAAGCGCCGGCCTCCGCAAGGACCTGCTTAGCTTGTGCATCTTTGGAGTTGAAGGATGGGGTCGTGGGGAGCGCCCAGCACAGAGGTGAGAACCGGGTGATCATAAATCCACCAAAGCCGGGGAGGACAGCTTGGGCAGGTGCGGCGCCATTAGCAGGGGCAGGGGCAATGTCAGGTCCGCCCCAGCAGCTTGCCATACGGCCCAAGACGGAGAACGCCATCTTGGCGGTTGTGAAGTCGTCGATATCTTTCGCGAAGTGTTCGATGGTGGTAATGACAGTTTCAAAGATGGGCTGGTTCCTCTCACTAATGATGACGGTCCCCAAATCATTGTTCAGCACAGCCAGCAAGAAATTCAGGTATTCTCGTTTCAACTCGGCAAGCTGAATCTCGTCATCAGTGCCGGTTGTTGGATCGGCAATGCCAGAGAAGACTCGCTGCAAGAAAGGAGTCAGGAGCGTGTCGAGAATGCTATAGATCTCACCCTTGAACCCAAAGATGACCTGATCTAGAAGGCGAAGGAACAGTGCCATCTCGTCGCGGGAAGAAGTCTGAGTCAAGAGCCCATCGATCCATCGGGGCAGTTGCGGGAGAATCTGCGCGCCCAGAACACCAATGAGCCGCGAGAACGCAAAGCGAGCAGCAGTCCGGATATTGAATGAGGAGCTGAGGGATTCAAGCGCAACCAGGGTCGCTTCAGCTACCTGTGCGAAAGCCGCCGAGACCTCTGGCGCCGGGAGAGCAGAGGGTGAGCTGGTACCCGGCTGCCAATCCGAGTAACCACGAGCGAGGGTTCCTAGAGCCATGATGTCGTGGTGGATCTGCAGCAATGCACGTTCGTCATTGGCCTTGGCGGCTTCGAGATTACGTTCCATATCGCCGAAGACAGGGTTCATCACCGACTGGGCGTAGAGAACCTGCTTCTCTGCAACGACACTTGGGGTCGACGAAATGATTCCAACGGACTCGAAAAGGTACAGCTGACTGTTGAACACAGCGTCCGCAGAGCCCTCATGATCCTCGGAAGACATCTCATCGCCGTCATCGCCTTCCGAAGGCACCTCAGCCTGAATAACCAACAAGTCACTCAATGCCTCCACAACAGTCTGTGCCACGTTGCCAATTTGACTGCGCAGCTGTCTAGCTAGCCGCTGGAACAGATACCACGAACGAGTCTTGACTTTTTTAACAGGGTGGTGCACAAGCTGGAGGAAGCTCTCCAGAACTCCAGGGATGAGATGAGTATTGTGGGTAAAGAATGAGCTATAACGAACACATATTTCCATGTACTGAAGTTGGGTTGCAGGGTGGGTGAATGATCGGATATCGGACTCTACCATCGCAAGCATCATCTCAATGAGACGATTCGCAGCCATGCCAGTAGGGGCACCCTTCAAGTAGAGACTGCCGCCCCTGACGGCCAGATCTCCAAACAAGAACATCTCATGCAAAGCGAGATCTAGGTCACGCCAGTCAAGCTGCCCACCGGATGCCCGCAGTTTTTGGAAAGTTGTTCCCACCACCTCTGAGATTGCATCGATGTAAAGCTGTTCATCGGCAGAGGCGATGATTTGCTGCAAAACACCGAGTCTCTTGCGCAGGTCTTGGAACTCTGCCTCGTCCGTTTGCTCGTCCTCCTCGCCCCAGTTTGAGGTCTCGTCGTACCGCATTTTCGCAATGATTGCCTTCAAAATCGGAAGCAAGATGGACTTGTTCCGCTCCGCAAAGGATGGATTTGCCTTGGCGAGTTTCCGAATGTACGTGAGCATATCGCTGACGCAAGGAATGACAGTCGAACAAACTTCGTCGTACTCGTCTGAAAAGAATCGAAGGATGTGCGGCAGGAAGACCTGCAAAAGGTTTTCTGCCTGCTCCTTGACGGGACCAGCGTCATTATCCAACACCCGGACAATGTCCACAACTGTGTTGTTGACAAGCTTGGCAACTGTCTCTGCCAAGTCAGTATCGTACTTGAATGTGAATCGGCTCTCCCGTAACGGAGGGCTGTTAGACAGCTGCGTGATGATGGAGTCGAGGTTCAAGAAAGCGATCATCTCAATTTTGTCTGAAGGCTTCATCTTCTTGCCAATGATCTCCGTGAAAACGTCCACAGCCGCATCGCGCACCCGCTGTTCTCCCTCCCGAAGCTCCTGTTTCTCGGCCCGCCCAAGCTGCTGGAAGAGCAGATCCAACATAGTCTGGTTCACTACAAGACCAATATCAATCCAGCTGACCCAGCTACCAACCGCCTTCAAGCACATCTCAACAATAGTATCGTCACTTTCCCGCCACACCGCCAAAATCTCCTGCCAGGAGTTGGCAATTTTCTGCATGTCCCTCTCCCGGATTAGGTCCTTCAGCGCATTCGCCCTGTCCTGTTCTCCGCGAGACCTTGAGACCAGCACATCGCCAATCTCCTCATGAATCGAGCTCAGCACACGCAGGTAGAACACAACCCCGATTTGGCTATCCCAGCCTGCGGATTTGCAGGTCAGGTTCAGTAGATCGTCGATGCAAGTCTCCCAGCCGTTCGCGTAGAGGGAAGAGAAGAGAAAAGTAACTGTCTGTGCGATTTTATTTTGAATATAAGGGGCGTCGGGGGTGGCAGTGGCCTCCGGGCCGTAGGCCTGGCGAACGTAGGCTAACACACTATCTCGAACAACACCGAGCGAGGCTGGATTGATCAAGCCGACCTGGGCTGCACTATTGACAATTTCGAGACTGACATGCCGTACGACTTCGGGCTGTTGTGGGGTTTTAGTGAAGAGGGAGAGGCAAACCTGCCATCCGGAGGGGTCAGAGCGGAGTTGGTTGAGGTATTCGTAGGCTTGGGATTTTAGGGTTGGGTCGGAGGATGGATTCCAGGCAATCTCAATTGCATTTGCTACCTGCTATGTGTCAATCATCTTCTGTCTTGAGTTGAGAAATGGAGCGGGCTGTTTGAAACGGCGGGGGAGGGGCGGTGTTGGGGTATTGGAATTTTTTTATCTCGAGGGTGCTGAACAGAATTGGAAGACTCACCTGTTCTTCCATCTTCCAGTCTCCCTTCGAGGTGTGGGAAGGAGAGAGGGAAATGAAAACGTAGGGGAGGTGTGTGTTGTTTTAAAATTGTTTTCGGTGGAGGAGATATTACCTGCGGGCATTCAACCTGGATATCGTAATCGGTCCCGTGCTCCGCCCTCGCTTGCCAAGAGAGTGCCGAATCTGCAAATCAAACGACCAAGGTATGTCGAGTACAGGTGTGGAGGACATTTTGATTGAAATGTGAAGTTCTTTGTGTTTTCCTGAATAGGACAAGGGGCAGTTGTTTATGGGCAGGAGCTTGATTTGATGGAACATCATACAATGTGTACTTGATTTGACCTACTCATTGCTATACAAGGCTTTAGAATGTCTAAAAGTGAGACGAAAATAAATCTAGCCCGATGGTTTTTTATATCTATGTTATTTTCAGGTTCCATCTCAATTGGCCTTGTCAGCCTGTTGCTGCAAAACCTGCAGTTCCATCTTCTCAAAGCCCTCGACTGCCTGACCATACTGTTCAAACACCCCCTCTTGATAACCGTCCGCAATTTTCTCAATGAACTCCTCCTCATTCCACCGCTGCCCAATCAAGTCCTCAAATGTTTGACCGGGCTGTCTCTCGATGCCCCAAACGGCCTTGTATGCGGCACCCAGAGCGCAGGCATTGTCGCCAACGTCGAGCGAATATACACCCTCGACACCGCCGAGGATCTCGCCAGCAATTTTGGCGATTGCTTTGTTCTTGGATCCTCCACCAACGAGATAAACTCGGCGTGGCTGGGAAGGGAGTCCATTGCCAGGGCTCTGGGTAAGGTCTCGAGACCGCAAGCGCAGTGAAAGCAACTGGCTCTCAATGATTGCGCGGGCTTCGTCCTGCGGCGAGTCCCATCCATCCATCGTCTCTTTCAAACTTCCCGTATGGGCATCGTATGTAAAGCGCCATTGGCCCTTACTAATGTTTGGTACGATCTCATGCTGCGGGAAGAACAGGCCCATCTTCATCGGACCCGAGGCATTCTGTTGACCCAACGGGGCAGTCTGCAGAGCGACCTTGTCAAAGTTGGCCCAGGGCTGAGCAGGGGTATCCTTCAGGCTCTCATTGATCGCATCTCGGACGTGCTCACGGGCCAGGCCGCCATTCTTATAGCACAGCATGAACATGTACAAGCCAGGGGTAGTAGGGTGGTTGAAAAAGTGTGTGGAGGGATTGGGTTTGTAGCTGGGAGTAGACATGAGGAAGGTAGTAGAGGTGCCGAGCGAGACCATTGCATCTGATGGCAGTAAGGGCAGCGCAAGAATGGTTGCTGGATTATCACCAGTTGCTGGAATAATTATACAATCAGGACTGAAGCCGAAACGCTCCACGAAATACGAATGAACGGATCCTAGGTGCAGGCCTCCATCTTCCGGTACCTCGCCGAGCTTCTGCTTGAGATCCTCAACTCCAAAGACACCCGAGCAGAGCTGAATCAGACGCTCGTCATACGCCCCTTTCTTGATGTTCCACAAGTTCATTCCGCACACATCGGAGATGTCGAATGGGGCTATATGGCCGAGAAAAAGTGACGCCAGGAAAGATGACACCAACGAAATTCTCCAGGTTTTCTCATAAATTTCAGGGTGTTTCCTTGTGAATCGGAGGATTTGAGGACCTGTGAATCTCTAATGACAGTGTCAGCACGCTTGCCCCGCATATACTTTGACTTCAGGGGCTTCTTACGTGGTGTGCTTTACTTCCAGTAGCCTGCGCTAAATCCTCGGGCTTGCCGAGAGCTGCGTCAAACTCGTCACATTCTATCTGGGTGCTTGAATCTTGCCAATTGGGACTGTATGGGTGGGAGAAAGCGCCTTCCAGCTGTGCCTCGAGGGACTTGCTGGAATCCAGATTGCGGAGAAGCGACTCCGCATTCTGACCCCAGTATACACTTCCATGCTGCTGTCCCGCACCACTAATTGCTTTCACACGGCTGAAATCGAGACCCTGCTTGCGCAGGCTTTCTAGCACACCATCCAATGCCTGCAGCCATAGGGCGACCGGTGCAAACACTTCATGTTCGGCTTCATTGTTCAGAACACCTTTTTTAATCGGGAAACTCTGCGAGTCGGCATCGAAATCAAATTTGGCAACATAGACCACTTTAAGATCGGAGTTGACAACTAGTCCCTTCAATTGTTGGGTGGAGAGATCGAATCCAATGTAGAGAGGGGTATCGGATGCCATGATGGAAGATAGACAATTCCATGCAATAGAACAGCAGGAAAGAGAAAGAGAGAGAAATGCTTTTCAAGTAATTCCTGGAATTCTTCCAAATTTAGGCCAAAAAAATCGAATGATCATGGGATGAACTCGGGAAAAGAAGCGTAGAAGTGCAAGCGGCAATATTGCCAGGTGGGTTGAGCTGATGATGTAAAGCGATTATAACCGGTTCCTATAACTAGTGGACTTCACATCTTAATTTTTTTTTTAATGCGAAGTACATATAGGAAAAGTGGAAAGTGAATACCGAGAACCAATTAAATCAAGCTTATGATTCCTCCAGTGATGTCAAAACAAGCCCGAGGTGGTTTTGCCGGGTAAATAGCTCTTTTAGCTGTTGTTCTGCTAAATTCTCGGTAGAATAGAACAGCCCCACTATATACTCTGCACTCTATTACCTGTCGTTTAAATCTGTTTGTTTTTTTTAGACTTGTTTTATTTACCAATCTATACATATAGACCGCAATCCAAAGGTATCATGGACTCTATCCCTATTGCTGCTTCCGAATATCTTGAGGTGTCTCCGGGTCACCACCAATATCCTGCGCAACGAACTCATCCGAGAACGTGAGATCCTGATTTTCCGCCGGAATGAAGCGGACCTTGATCCGCTTCACGCCGCGAACTCCGGATCCAACAGCTTGACGAACGGCTTCTTCGATGTGTCGTGACCGACTAATAGCCCAGGCACCCGGCACAGCCAACTCAATGTCCATTAGGTAGTTTTGGCCAGACTTCATGCCTTGTACATCACGAACGATGACTTGGTGTCCATCTTCAAGATCCTGCAATGCCTTGGAGGCAGCAGCCTCCACAGAGTGTCGCACTTCCTCATCAACCGTAGTATCCGCCAACTCCAAAAGGGAGGTACATGTGTTGCCCCAACCGGCTTTGATGACCATCAGGGAGATCAGGACTCCGCCAACTGGATCCAGCCAGGTGGCATCTTGGAAGACATAGCTTCCTCCGATTGTGAAAAGGGCGACAATACTGGTCAGGGAGTCAATGCGGTGGTGAACAGCGTTGGATGCAAGCACGGACGATTTGCGCTCTTCAGCAACCTTCATGGCTAGAATCTCAAGTTAGTGATCTAATTAATATAGATATATATATACACCCAGATCTCTGCATCTCTTCACTTACTGGCATGGTAAAGCCACTCCTTGACCACAATCGAGCCTGCTGCGATCCATGCCGCGTGAATGCTTGGACCGATTGGCCCATGACTGTGCGAATGACCATGTCCCAAAATTCCAGAATGAGCTACTGTTTCAGCCACATCAGGGTAGAAGTGAGCCAGCAGGACCTGACCCGCGTTGAGACCCATGAACACTCCTCCGCAGAGCAGAAGCCCACTAACCCCTAACGCACCGATGCTCTCGATTTTTCCATACCCGTTTGGGAATCGTTCACTCGGGGGCTTCAGGGACCAGGCGACAGTCCCCAAAGTCAAAAAGTCGGAGACAAGATCGGTGAGCGCGTGGTAGGCGTCGGCGATCAGGGATTGAGAGTGAAAGATATAACCGCCAATGAATTTTCCAATCGCCATACACAAATTTGCAACGAGACCAATACGTGTAATGCGAACACCAGCGTCGCGTTTGTTTGTGGAGGTTAGGTAGGTATTATCATGATGGTGGTGGTGGTGGTGACCGTGGCCGTGGCTATGGCCATGATCATTCCTAGTTTGTGTCATAGTTATAGATGTTGCCAGACGTGGAATGGAACGAGGTCTGGAGCGAAAGATGAAGGAAGAAGGGGTTTTCAAAAAAGGTGTGGAAGTAAGTATGCGCCGCTGGGCAGCAAGAGATCCGAGACTAGAAATCCTGAAGTGGAGAGGGCGAAGTCTGCATAGGGGCTGCGTCAGCGGCATCGCGTCGAGGGCACGCGAGCACAATAAAAGGATTGGACAGAGTGGTCTTTTTTCAGGGGCCTTTGTGTTGTCAAAACCGAGATTATAGTTTCAGTTACGGAGTACGTCTATTCCACCAGAAAGGTGAGAGGTCTACGGAGTAGATGGTGGGATGTTCATGTCATCCGGCATTTCCCTTGATTTTCCGTTTCCAATCTACACGCATATCTCCCCACGAACATCTCCATGTGTCCTATTGGAACTCATTAACTCGGACTACCTCTCGAGGCCTATCGGAATTCTTTTTTCTCAATCTTTCATTTTATTTTAGTATACTCTTGGATGAATGTTGAATCTCCGATATCTTCTAACGCAGTATCCAAGCATCCAACTGCGCAATCGTCGGAGAGCATCCACTCTCGTTTCGCCAAGACACACACCCGTGAACGTATAATGGTGCGTCTTCAATGACGACGCCTGCCATTCGGATCCCCTTCACGGGACCATTGCCCCCAGCCATCATAGTCCCTAGGGCTGCAACAACAATCGCAGGAGCAATTGAGGCTATCAGCACTTTCCTCACTGCACCGCCGTCTTCAACTCTCCGCGGTGTCGATGTGGGGAGACATTCCCAGACGGTACTCCTGACTGGCGCAGGTATCTCCGTCGCGTCTGGTCTGTCAGATTATCGAGGCGACCAAGGTACTTATCGGCTAAACAAATCATATCGTCCAATTTACTATCATGAGTTCATCTCCCACCATGAGTCGCGCAAGCGGTATTGGGCGCGCAGCTTCGTCGGATGGCCCGGGCTCTTGAAAGCAAAGCCGAACTCGACTCATAGCGCAATTAAAGGTCTCGGTGAAAAAGGGTACATCAGTTCCGTTGTGACACAGAATGTCGACTCGTTCCATTCCCTTGCGCATCCGGAACTATCTACCCTCGAACTACACGGATACTTGCGATCGGTCGTTTGCACGAGCTGTCAAAACCAACTTCCCCGCACTGACTTTCAAGCGTCGCTGGAGAGACTCAATCCAGCTTGGGCCAAATTTTTAGCTCGCATGGTTGCAGAGGGTGCGTTCGATGTCGATAATCCGGAGGAGCAACGGCGTAAAGGCTTGAAGCTCAACCCGGATGGGGACGTTGATCTCGCTGAAGCGCCATATTCTACTTTCCGGTATCCTTCATGTCCGACCTGCTTGGAGAACCCTCCCACGTTGAGCGATGGCAAGAAGGCGACTATAGAGGTAGATAGCGACGGTGCATTATCGGTAACTTCAAATGCCGGTATTTTAAAGCCGGCAGTGATCATGTTTGGTGAAAATATCGACCCCTTGGTGAAGACAGCGGCTGAAGAAGCGATTGATGATGCTGGGCGGCTACTCATTTTGGGCACCAGCCTAGCGACTTTTTCGGCGTGGCGCCTCGTGGAACGAGCACACAAACGAGGCATGCCTATTGGTATTGTCAATGTTGGTGGCGTGAGGAATGAGGCCCTTCTTTTTGGGAATATTGGACATGATTCCACTGCTCATGTTCGGTGTAGCCATCCATCCCAGTTAGTCCTCCCGACCGTTGTATCCCAACTCCCAATCAATCTATAGATATAGGAAATTAGACACAAAAAACTGAAAACTGAAATCAAGTTCACCGTGAAAGAATGCACCAACTGTAGCAAAAATCGAAATAAAAGTAAATGTAGAAATAATAAGCGCCTGCCAACTCAGGCCAAAAAAAATGCCAAGTCTGTTAAGTCCCGGGCCGCTCAGCGCGGGGCTCATCCCTCACGTCTCAGCATGGAGTATTTTAGGGATCCTGCAGCCCACCCTTTGAAGATCACCTCAAATCTGGTCTCTCCTGGTCACTTTCTCTTTCATTCTAAACCCAAACCATCGCGGCCACCGGCTTCCAAAGTTCCACAGAAAATGGACAAATCTCAGCAGCCCAGTTCCTTCCAGCAGCTGGAAAAGGTATGCCTTTCTACTTATCTGGTCTTGGACCTTGGATCTTTGCTAATCTGGTATCGGTCTTATTTCTAGCTCGGTGAAGGCACTTATGCTACCGTACGTCTTGATCGCTCGATCTCCCTCGATTTCTCCGCTTGGCTCCCCCGCTTCTATCCTGATCGCCACTTTGCCCCCGTCCACCGCTGATGCAGAATGCTACAGGTCTTTAAAGGGCGCAATCGCCAAACCGGTGAAATGGTGGCGCTGAAAGAGATTCACTTGGATTCAGAGGAGGGAACACCGTCAACCGCAATTCGTGAGATCTCGCTCATGAAGGAGCTGAAGCATGAAAGCATTGTCTCGCTCTACGATGTCATCCACACGGAAAACAAACTCATGCTTGTTTTTGAGTTCATGGACAGGGATTTGAAGAGATATATGGATACTCGCGGCGATCGGGGACAGCTGGATCCTGCTACGGTCAAATCTTTCATGCACCAGCTACTCAAGGGTATCGCCTTCTGCCATGACAACCGAGTCCTCCACCGCGATCTGAAGCCACAGAACCTTCTGATCAATAAGAAGGGTCAGCTTAAGCTGGGTGACTTTGGACTGGCTCGCGCATTTGGCATCCCGGTTAATACATTCTCTAACGAAGTCGTTACTCTGTGGTACCGCGCACCGGATGTCCTCCTCGGAAGTCGCACCTATAACACTAGCATTGACATTTGGTCCGCTGGCTGCATCATGGCAGAGATGTACACGGGTCGTCCGCTTTTCCCCGGCACAACCAACGAGGATCAGTTGATCAAGATATTCCGTTTAATGGGCACACCATCTGAACGTACATGGCCCGGCATTTCGCAGTTACCAGAATACAAGTCCGACTTCCAGATCTATGCCACGCAGGATCTGTCGCTGATCATCCCTCAAATGGATGCTATCGGGATGGATCTATTGAACCGTATGCTCCAACTCCGTCCGGAGATGCGTATCAGCGCCACCGAGGCCCTGCAGCACCCGTGGTTCCATGATCTGCCTCAGATCCAGGCTAAATTACAGCACCAGCACCAGCACCAGCAGATGGCTGGATATGGAGGCATGATCCCTACGCAGCCCGCTTATTAGCGGCCTAGACTGCGCACGACGAGATGACGAGCTCGATTAGACAATTGGACACGGGAGAATTCGGCGTTATACCCGATGATGGATCTTTTTGCTTCCCTTTTTTTCTTTTTTTTTCAACTTGATTTTGCGAATATCGGGCCAGTTTTGTCAAAGATAGGGAATATCTGGCCTGCTTGGAGATGGGTCGACTTCGGAACACTGTTCAGTTGTCTTGATGATGCTAGAGCAGCGCTCCAGATGTTATCAACCTTCTGCTTGTTTTCTAAGTAGTTCTTCCTTTAGGAATGAATTCCGCCATACACCTCAAGCTGTATTTATCAACACACAGAGCAAGACATGTGCAACAAACGCTTGGGCCAAGTTCAAAATGGCCCCGTTGGAACTGCAATCCTCGGGACTATCTTGGATTACTACTGTTACTAGTCTTTTCTCCACCGACCAAGAATTTTCGGGACGAATCAGCTCATCGCGGCTGTACTGCTCTTCATTATGAAGTACCCGGCCGTAGGTATCTGGAGTAACCCTTTCGAGCAGGCATCATGTCGGCAATTGAATGTCTTTTGCTTGTTCGGAATAATCTTTCAAACATGCAGTTACCTGAATTTCAATCTGGTCTCCTGGAACAACTAGTGAGCTTTGAAAACATCGGGGGGAAAGAGTTGTGCTAGTGTCACACACCGGCGAACTGACCTGAGGATTTCACAAAGCCCCTTAAATATTGCCACAGTTGTACCCTTGGCGTATTCAGGTTAATTCACCCTCGAGAACTGTAAACACCCAAACAGCTGCTGAGGACAAAGTCCGTACGCCTAAACAATGGTTCTAATCAATGGTACGACCCAAGGGCTATGCCTCCAAAGCTTGTCTATACAGGAAAGTACTGTTCCCTTATCCAATCCACACTACCTATATTGCAAATCCCAGGAGATTGCGCGTGGTGATACTACTACTACCCAAACTGAAATCGTTTGCATGTCTTTCCCTGCGAGCACCTATTTGAACGGTGGCCCATGCATTGTTTGAGAAGAGGAAACCATTTAAAAGCTACCCTGCTCGGTTCTCACTCCTTTTCTTGGCGATAATTTGAGCCTAATTCTGTTGAAGCCACGCCCTTTGTTACAGGGCCCGAAATCAAGCTGGCATCTTCCCAGCTATAAGCCGACGGCAGTAACAGCAATATGCTGATTGGGCTGGTCCTAACTTGTTTGGTTTTTAGCTTTTTTTTTTGTTGCCCATTGCGGGTAATAAGCAGGTAGTATTGTGCTTTGGCCATATCTACTTGAACCATTTGCCTAGGGCGTTCCATAACCCAAAAATAAGTCCCTGCCAATAGATCTACGATCATCTGGATCCTCGGTCTGTCACAAGCCAACTTGGCTTGATTAAAACACGAGGATCATCTCGGTTCATATCCGCTGGATATAACCTTCAGGCGCTGGAAGTCCTCCCTCTCGCGGCAACTAGGCCATAGATCATGATACCATGACACTTTCAGAGCAACAAATATTGGCTATCTCGGCCACAGAACGTGTTTGCTCGACGGTTTCCCTTGCTGGAACTTTTGTTATAGTCGCTACTTTTATCTGGTCCCCCACGTTTCGTAAACCCATCAACCGCTTGGTATTTTATGCATCATGGGGTAACATCATGGCTAATATAGCCACCATCATATCGGCAGACGGGATTCATTATGGGGTTGATAGTTCCCTATGCCAGTTCCAGGGGTTTTTGATTCAATGGTTAGTATCAAATTGGTAACCAAACACCCTTAGTAGACGACCACTAACAAGAGGATAGGTTTATGCCTGCCGATGCACTATGGACATTCGCAATGGCATGCAATGTCTACCTAACATTCTTCCACAAATACGACTCCGAGCAACTACGCCGGCTGGAATGGAAATATGTGCTCTGCTGTTACGGTGTCCCATTCGTCCCAGCTTTCGCATACTTCTTCATCCAGACCCAAGCCCAAGGCCGGATATATGGCTCCGCCATCGTAAGTAGAACCCCAAAGCCCTCACTTCCACCTGACTGTACTAATCCAATGACCCCCCCCCCGGTAGCTCTGGTGCTGGATCTCTGTACAGTGGTCCTTTCTCCGTATCGCCATTTTCTATGGACCAGTCTGGCTCATTATCTCATTGACTTTCGCCATCTACCTACGAGCAGGGACGGTGATATACCAGAAACGGCGCCAACTTCGGAACCTCGGTGGCATCGAGTCAGATATGGTCCCAGAGTCTCCCTTCGCCATGTTAACTGGTATCCACGTTACTAGAGAGATTGCCTGTTCCACCCCAGAACGCCAGTCTTTGTCGGAAGGCGCCGCGCGCGGATTACCCTCGAATGCGTTCAGAGCATACTCAGTCACGATCGAGGGCGGGAATACCACCAGCACACTTCAAGGTTCCAGCACAAATATCGGCCCCGGTTCTCTTCAGCAGGGGAGTTCTAGCAAGGCCGTACGGCCGGATGCGGTGGACTCACAGCGGAGGTCGACGTCCACAGAAGCTAGTTCGGCTACGTGGGCGTATACGAAATACGCCATGCTGTTCTTCATTGCATTGCTTGTTACATGGGTATGTTTAGTTGATATCTACTACAGTCTTAAGGCCGTTATCGGTTCTTTTCGTGTGCTGATTGTTCGACATTGCAGGTCCCCTCGACGATAAACAGAGTCTATTCCCTTGCTCGCCCTACTGACTTTAATTTCAGTCTCAATTATGCATCTAGCTTTGTTCTTCCTCTCCAGGGCTTTTGGAACAGCCTTATATACGTCTCTATCTCGTGGCCCGCATTCAAATTACTTTGGTCTGGCGTTCATAGCCACGTCTCCTCATGGCGCATACTCCGTCCGGTGACAAATGTACAATCCTTTCATCTACAAAATAGTTCTCAGAGCTCGAGCCCTGCTCTTTTGGTGAAAACTGAGAACGAGGAGAACAGAGGTCGGAGTTGGCTGGGCTTAGATCCATCAATTTAGGGTATGAAATTGGTTAGTAGCTGAATGCCTCATTTCCATTGCAACATGCCATCTGCAATACATCATGTAATCTCTATACTCCATTTTAATACCCTAAAGCACTTAGCGGAGTATGAAAATCAAAAATTCAAATCTCGATGTCATGTACGACCCTCATCAATTCAATGTATGGAAGCACGTGACCGGCGCGTCGCGTTGAATAGAGGTTCTATCCAACACCCATGATCCCAAATTCCCAAAGAACAACAAACTGCCTCCTTCACACCACTCTTGCAATACTTGCATGCTCGTCGTTGTTTACCGCTCTCCAATTCTATCCCGACAGCAGAAACATCCACTATGGCCGAATCAAGTTCCCACAAACCACCCGCCGCGTCGCCGTCCCCTCCCCCGCCAGCTCCAATTCCCCAATCCCCGGGCCCGCGCGCCTCACGTCTAAACCAAGTTTTCGAGCAGGCTCTGGCGCGCACGCTCCGTGCAAACTCATATGCGAACTTTGCAGGCTGTTTCCCGACACCTGCCCGCCATGTTCCTGCCAGCTTGGAGGGTGTCTGGCGGCAATTGAACGCGAAGCTGGAAGCAAATGCCAAGGCTGAGTTTGATGATATTGTCGAGGAAAGGAATGCGGTGGCACATTTAAATGAGCTTGATCGGCTGGTTGGGGATGCAAGGGCTAGGAGGGAGCAGGAGGGGGAGAATGCCGAGGGACAAGTGAGAACAGTGTATGTTAAATGGACATGGTTCATTCGGACTATGTTTGTTTTATCATTTTGAGTTTGACTTCTAACCTATTTTACTATATAGCGCGCATACCCTCGGCGCCGAAGATCTGTACAAAGCGCACCTTACGCCCTATCTGCAGGAAGTGCAGTCGACCCTCAACGCCAGACTGGAGGCTACTCATGCGGAAAATGCGGAGCTTGCACAGACTGTCCAGGCGCAGAGGCTGGAAATTGAGCGGCTATTGTCGCATCTTGGATTGGTCGTTTCGGATATTGAGGGTGCTGCTATGGCAGCCACGCAATTCAGCAGACAACATCACATTCGCCAGGATGCGATCCAGATGGATGAAGAGGCAAAAGCCCGTCCGGGTCTGTAAGCATTTTACGGAAACTGTTTCTGTATCCGTTTCATGATGAAATCAGGGCACTCAACTCCCTGCCGTCAACCATTCCGTCTTCCACCATATCCTGCGCCACGACTATCACATGTTGGAGGTTCGTTGACTTGAGCTGCTCGAGCTTCGTATTCTGGCCTTCGATTGCTGCAGCAATCGCTTCCTTGTATGTTCCGTCGCGTTCTTCCTCGGCAGCTCCGTCGCGGCGGGCCAGAGCTGATGCTCCGCGGTAGTATGTCTGAGCGTTGCGCAGGAGCATAGCTCCGTTCTGTTTCGCCATGGCGTGGTTCCATGGTGCTCGTCCCAGACGCCATCTGTGCATCTCAGCGTCTCCGCGACCAATGTGGATCTTGGGCAGGTTGTCGACGTCTGGGAGCTTGGTAGCAGCCGTCAATGCATCTAGGGCGGTGGAAAGTGACTTCCAACGCAATGCTACTGCGTTCTCAAACGCCTCGTCATCCTCCGATGGGGGAATATCTGAAAGCGCCTGGTTTAACGATATGAGTGCATCTGCTTTTCCACATAGTCCTTCCGGGTCCGCGGATACATCCAACTCTGCACCAAAAACCTGTCCAACCTCCTGCTGGTAGGTTTGGATATCGGTGTGTCCGCCTCGGTAGAGCAAATCGTTCAGGGCACAGATGAACTTGGCACGCGCCAAGGCCGCCTCATACTGTCTGTCCGAACCCTCGGCATAAGCAGGCAGCCGCGACTGCACAAGCTCCGAAGAGTACTCTTGCACCCAACCAACACCTCCTCCGCCGGGGTTAGAAGTTAACAAGTTGCACAGAGTAGTCAAAGTCTCCAGTTGTGCTACTGCCGTGTCTACGAGTGTATTCTTCGTGACGGGCTCCACAATCATCGCCCACTGTTCCTGCTCCACGCCTGTGGACTCGGCTTGGGGCTGCCCTGCGGCCTGTGGTACAACCTCCGGCTCCGGTGGCACATCCCCGGATTCCATCAGTTCGATCTCCTCTTGCATTTGCGTGTACTTCATCTCCTGTACCATCAAACACCGCTGGAATAACTCAATCGCCTCTTGCAGATAGGTGCCTGCCTGCATCTGCTGCTCCTCGTTTGGGTGCTTTAGGTTGGACATCAATTCCGCTATGCTGGTCAGCACCTGGCCCGAATTAAACAACACGTCAGCATTATCCTGATCCAGAGCCAGCGCATCCCGATGTGACTGCAGCGCAACCTGCAAGAGATCTCCCTGTGGCGCTGGCAGCTGGGCCGCTAGTTTGTGGTGCTGGGTGATTTCATATTGGACTCGTGCTCTAGGTGGATGTGTCAATTAAGGTAAACCCAAACCAGTACCTCTCAATCATGGATGAAATTGTAAATTTCAAAACCGTGGCTTGTTTTGATATCGGTGTGAATTTTACCTACTTGTTGTACGCTAGATCAAATGTGCCAGGATGTTTTTGTAGACCTTCGTCATAGTTGGTGATGGCCCGCATAAAAAAGCGCATGGACTTGGCCGCATCTCCGGCCCGCCATTTCTCGCCGGCTTCTTCAAGCTCGACGCCGGCTGGAGAGATAGTTAATTTAATTTTGTGACTGTCGGTATCACTGGCTTATAGGGTTCAAATACACACCTGCCAGAAAATCATCCGCAGTGACAGGTACCTAGATCAAAATTTATGAGATCATGACCAAGCTATTCTGTGCGGGGGTACATTGCTACCACATACCTGTTTCGAGGCAGCCTTCTTCTTCGACTTTGTTTCCCTGAGGAAGGATTTCGGTTTCGCCATACCTGTAGGAACGCTGTTGATTGTATTGAACGAATATCGACCGAGATGGCTGTGCACCTTGAAATTGAAGTAAATCCGGCAGAATCTGCGCGGTGTGTGGCGGAGTATACCGTTCCCCTCGACTACACGCAACATTGGTAATGACAGTCATTGTTTTATAGCTTTGGGGCCTAATAATTGGTGATTCAGCGGGTGGTATACAGGATTTTAGACCTAAGAAATGAGTGACCAAAAAATCTCAAAGCTGCTTGGTCCTTCGGATCTGCATGGATGCCAAGACCGGGACTAGATACGGAGTAGATGACTGTGTAAGCTGTTTTGTTTCATATTGTTTTGCTGTTTCAGATGTAGTGACACTGGTACCTTGTATTGCACAAGGGGGTCTGTGTTGCTAGCTCCGTATCTTTGTAAAAATGATACAAATTTGTATAGGCCCGAGGTACTGTCCCTTGCTGCCATCATAGTACCCAGAATTTAGATTACAATTAATCTAAACGAGATTCACTCTCCTCTCATTGCTACAGTATTCAACATGACTAGCATAGAGCCACTAAAATAAAGCATCTCATAGTAATATAGTCGTACCTAATCCCCCTACCCTGAAGTACCCAAGTACCCGAGATGATCGGCTCGCGTGGCAGCACGTGGCAAAAATATTCCCGGCAAAGCTTTCTTGATATCAAAGAAGGGAGTTTGAATGATTCCAATGGTATCATTGATTACTGTGCAGTTTTTTATGATCTTTATGATCTTTGAATTGTGTATAATCATATTTAACCTTGGAGTTTCATCGCAGAACTCTCTTCAATGCGCATCTTACGATTACGTCGATCTTTCCATAAAAAACCCTTCCACCCCTTTCCCGGCACACATTGTCTTTCCCCACCAATCCGACCCACCCCGTTTTGTCTTCTCCTTTCTGTGACTCTATTCCTACTCCTGCACTGAATTGGTACTTTGGCGCCTGATTCCAATAGACCCCCTTCTACCTATACTGAGTATGCATCCCTTGGAAATTCAAGTTTGCCAGCCATTAGGCAATAATACCCACTAACAGGTCAATTCTGCAGGCTGCATTTTATTCAAGGGCCTTCCTATACCTACGATTTGAAACCCGCCCCTCCTTCGGCGCAAATTCTCCTCTTTATAACCATATCACGTCCCGGAAATGACTCGCCACACCTCTATCGACTCTGAGTGTCCCATGATGGCTCAATCGGTGGGAATTCCTCTCCCTTCCTCTTGCTCTACCCTGTCACCGAACTTTTCCAATCGTTATTCAGAACCGCGCAAGTCTAACCTGCTACAGAACCGAAACTCAAAGAGATTCTCCACTGTCAGTGGAAGCCCCTCACTGGCTGCTTCCGATCGCACAAACGGCACTCTGCCCAGCGGCGACCCCAGAATCGCTGACATCGTCTACCTCCACGATGGCTTTGGGCGCCTTGAGAACGAGATTCTCAACAAGCAGCGATTTGTGCCCACAGAGGAGAAGTCGAACAACCTGAACAAACTTGCTCTTGGGGCCAAGGTCGAGCGTGCTCTAGACCGGAGGATGACTGGCCAAGACGCTGTCATGCGCAAGCCTCTCTCTGAAAAGACTGTGGTGCAAACTGACTAGTCCTGATGGTAACGATACATTCAAGGGACAAATGACTTGCCAGGTGCTTTGCTCGCTACATGGTCAGCGATCTCTGATCGTTCGCTTGTTTCTTGTTCCTCATTTCTACTTTTTTTTCGTCTCAACATCGGAGCCTCTATCGATACAACTCATTTGAATGCTGTCTCTTCTTGCAGCCACCCTTTCATGTCCCTTCATACCCCTCTATTCTTTTTCTGGATCAGTTTGTGGCGTTTTGACTTGATGAGATGCGCACTATTTCCTTGAGTATGAACACCCGGGTCTGGTATTCTCTTTTCTCTTATTTTTCTTCTCTGACTGTCACGTATCTTGAATCATTATGAAAGCTTTCATCAACTTTATTAATATTGATAGAATTTTTAGTCAATAATATGTTCTTGTATACAACATACTAAACCAAGTAACCAAGTACTTTGAATTCTGCCGGGCGGTGGCCACCCGCCAAGACCACGCGAAACCCGCACGGAGTCAAGAGAAGGAAGTTCTTTTCTTCGAAGGCGAATTCCCACAGCTTCATTCCATCTCCTTTTTGTTTCCCATTCTCTACCTGAATCCTCCCCCCACGCATCTGTCCATCTTCCAAACCCACATTTTCTCGAACTCTCTCACAATTCTTTTAAACTCTCCAAATAACTCTCTCCGCGCCCATCAGAACCGAGAACTCATTCTCACTTCAGCTATACTTCCCGCTTTATCGCAATATCAAAGCGTCTCGCCTCTTTCTATTCTTTTCGTGCTTTCCTTCGATTCTTTTCAATTGATTGCATTGGTAATTGGTCCATTACGCATCGTGAGTTCCGATCTACCATGTCCACTTCGATCGCATGGTAAAGATCTCAAAACTAATCAGTACCCTGTGAAGCGAGGGAAACACGAAAATTTTTCACTTCTAGACCGTTCATCGCTTGCTTTTTCTTAAAAAAAGCCTCTCGGCCGTTATAGTCTCGACCACCACTTTCGCCGCGCTTGGTTACTTTTAAACTCAATTTCCACCCGAAACCAAAGATAAAAACCCCTCAATCCTACGCCATGGCCGATATGACTCAGGTTCCCATCAATGGCAACTACCCTGCTCAGCACGGTTTCCCCGAATCCTACAACCATGCATCTGTTACCATGAACACTGCTGCCAGCTTCCAGCCTGCGCAGTCCTCCACCCCGACTACCGTCACTCCCACCGACCAGCAGAAGAATGAGATCTCCAAGGATGAGGTGGGCTGGTATTTCGTCGAGCAGTACTACACCACCATGAGCCGCAACCCCGACAAGCTTCACCTGTTCTACTCTCGCCGCTCTCAGCTGGTATTCGGCACTGAGGCTGAGTCGGTTCCTGTCAGCGTTGGTTCCAAGGTAAGTTTAATTGGATCCCTCTGTGTGAATGTTGTCTAATCAAATTTCCTCACTTTCATAGGCCATCAATGAGAAGCTCAACTCCTTGAAGTTCCAGGAGTGCAAGGTGCGCGTCCTGAATGTCGATTCTCAGGCCTCTTTCGACAACATCCTGGTCTCAGTCATTGGTGAGATCTCCAACAACTCCGAGCCATCCCGCAAATTCGTGCAGACTTTCGTCCTCGCCGAGCAGCCCAACGGCTACTATGTTCTTAACGACATCTTCCGATACATGGCCGAAGAGCCAGAAGAAGAACCCGAGCTACCTACCGCTGCTGCGCCTGTTGCCGAAGCCCCTGAGGCCGTTGCTGAGGTTCCTGCTGAGGTTCCTGCTGAGGAGCCCCAGGTGACTGGTGAAGTCGCTGTTTCCAATGTCGATGAGAAGCTCGAGGAGGTCGAGGCCAACGGTCAGGTTGAGGAGCCTGAGGAGGCCGCTCCTCAGACCAACAGTGCCCCTGTTGAGGAGGAGACCCCCGCTCCTGTTCCTGCCGTTGAGGCTGAAATTGTGAAGGATGAGGAGCCTGCCACCCCTGAACCCTCTCTCGTTCCGGAAAAGGAGGAGATTCCTGAGAAGGAGACGTCAGCCACTCCCGCTGCCCCTAAGACCTGGGCTAGCATTGCGACTACCTCTTTCGCAGCTAAGGCCGCTGCTGCCGCCAAGGCTTCGGCCGCCCAGGCTGCTCCTGCTGCTCAGGCTGCCCCTGCTGCCCCTACTGCTCCTAAGGCTGCTGCTCCAGCTGCTTCTGCTGCTCAACCCGCTACTGCCGGCCCCACGGAGGCTACCCGCTCCCAGGAGGCCCCTTCTACCGAAGCCGGATGGCAGACCGCCGGCGACGGCCACAAGAAGTCGCAACCACGTGTTGAGGAGACCGTCCTCGCTTATATCAAGAACGTCAACGACAAGGTCGACGCCAGCTTGCTCAAGCAGACCTTGGCTCGTTTCGGCAAGCTGAAGTACTTCGATGTCAGCCGCCCCAAGAACTGTGCCTTTGTTGAATTCAACGAGCCCGCCGGTTATACCGCTGCCGTTGCCGCCAATCCCCACCAGATTGGCAGTGAGCAGATTCTTGTTGAGGAGCGCCGCCCCCGTGGCAATGCCTACGGCAGCAACGGCTTCCCCGCCGGCCGTGGTGGTGGTGCCGGTCGTGGTCGTGGTGACCGCGCCGGCAGCCAGGGCCGTGGTGGCTTCCAGCGTGAGGGCCGTGGCAGCTTCACTCCCCGTGGCCGCGGTGGCAACGTTGCCGCCAAGGGTCGCCCCAGCCAGCCCCAAGCTGCTTAATCACCATACGTGAATTTGATGATCCTCTACGTTCTTCTTCCCCGTCGGTATCACGTCTCGCAATTCCCGTGGGCATCTTCCGGCGGATGATCTTCTCAGGATCTGTATTACATCGATTTTGATTCTCTTTTTTCTTTTGCCCCGTCTCTTCCTAATGACATGTGTTACGTGACTATTGCCTCCCCCTTTTTTTCCGTCACAGTGCATATTAGCGGTTGGTCCGGGTTGGCTGGAAAAGTTGCGTCTCTTTCCTTCTCTCTGGGCACTTGTGTTTTAACCTGACCTTTTTTGATCTTGATCTTTTTTTTTGCTGGGACCGGGTCTCGTCTCTGATAGTCACGATTCTTTTTATTTTGCACCATATTGCTTTCTTTCAGTGTCTTCTGCCATGATCTGTCACTTGCTCCTTTCTTGCAAGACGTTATATCGCATCTGTTCTTAACCAGCATAGCAAACTCCAGGGTTTTACGGTGGTGCGCCATCCCGGTCTTTCTTGTATTTTGCTTCTTTTTTTGGATTTTCTTGGCTGTGAGAATTCTATAGGGATTCGCTCTCTTTTTGATGTGTAAATGGGATATTCTTGGCCGAAACTGCAACTACCTCATGGGATGATGAGCCTACCAAATATGGATTAGAGAATAGTGAATGTCTAAGTTGCTATATCTGTACAATGTCCAGGACTGCCAAGGTTGATACTCAGCCCCGGGGACCTTGATGGCTTACCTAATCGGGAGTCGACGAGTCATCTAACCTGGGGAAGATTCTAGAGTTTAAGATGCCTGAGGCATGAACAGCTTGCCACTGCCAAAGTAGAGAAAAAGGCGAGGTAGGGGCTACAAACTGGGGGGAAAAGATTGAATAGTTAAAAAAAGAAATCGAATCGAATAAGAGCAGAAGAGTCTAGAATAATATCGAGTGAGCTGCAGGGTTGCCTGAACGACATGGAAGTTGCTGGATAACCGTAGAAACACTCCACCAGAAATTTTTGGAAACACAAAAGGAACTGGCCCGCCTCTTCGACTCTTTCACTTCATATCTTCCTCTTGCTTTGGCTTCTCCCCCCCCCCAGAGCTTTCTTAATAATTTTACCTTCTTGTAAGATATAAAACACCCCTTTGCTTGTCCTACTCGTCACCGCTTTCAACTTCTCCCACCTTCTATCGATTGATCAGACTCTGCATCTGCATCTGCATCCCTCTGCAAATTCCTCAAGTGATATAAATCATCCTTTTCTAACCTGGGTTTCCCTCCAGAATCACAATCCGCCATCATGTCTGAGACCTTCGAGTTCCAGGCTGAGATCTCTCAGCTGCTCTCGCTGATCATTAACACCGTCTACTCTAACAAGGAAATTTTCCTTCGTGAGTTGATCTCCAACGCCTCTGATGCTCTTGACAAGATCCGCTACGAGGCTCTCTCCGACCCCTCTAAGCTCGACTCCAACAAGGATCTGCGCATCGATATCATCCCCGACTTGGAGAACAAGACCCTCACCATCCGCGATACCGGTATCGGTATGACCAAGGCTGTAAGTACAAACCCTAAGAGTCATCTCTCATCTTCTCCTTGTTTCCATTTGGACACTTAAACTAATATTCACCTTACATAGGATTTGATCAACAACCTTGGAACAATTGCCCGCTCCGGCACCAAGCAGTTCATGGAGGCTCTGTCCGCCGGTGCTGACATCTCCATGATCGGCCAGTTCGGTGTCGGTTTCTACTCCGCCTACCTGGTCGCTGATCGTGTCACCTTTGTGTCCAAGCACAATGATGACGAGCAGTACATCTGGGAGTCCGCCGCCGGTGGCACTTTCACCCTCAAGGAGGATACCGAGGGCGAACAGCTCGGCCGTGGCTCCAAGATTATCCTTCACTTGAAGGATGAGCAGATGGACTACCTCAACGAGGCCCGCATCAAGGAGGTTGTTCGCAAGCACTCCGAGTTCATCTCCTACCCCATCTACCTTCACGTCCTGAAGGAGACCGAGACTGAGGTCCCTGATGAGGAGGCTGAGGAGATCAAGGAGGATGATGAGAAGAAGCCCAAGGTCGAGGAGGTTGATGATGAGGAGGAGGAGAAGAAGGAGAAGAAGACCAAGACCGTCAAGGAGTCCAAGATCGAGGAGGAGGAGCTCAACAAGACCAAGCCCATCTGGACTCGCAACCCCGCCGACATCACCACTGAGGAGTACGCCTCCTTCTACAAGTCCCTCTCTAACGACTGGGAGGACCACCTCGGTGTCAAGCACTTCTCCGTTGAGGGTCAGCTTGAGTTCCGCGCCATTCTCTTCGTTCCCAAGCGCGCTCCCTTCGACCTGTTCGAGACCAAGAAGACCAAGAACAACATCAAGCTCTACGTTCGCCGTGTCTTCATCACCGATGATGCCACTGACCTCATCCCCGAGTGGCTTAGCTTCGTCAAGGGTGTTGTCGATTCTGAGGACCTTCCCCTCAACCTGTCCCGTGAGACTCTCCAGCAGAACAAGATCATGAAGGTCATCAAGAAGAACATCGTCAAGAAGATCCTTGAGCTCTTCGTTGAGATCTCCGAGGACCGTGAGCAGTTCGACAAGTTCTACCAGGCCTTCAGCAAGAACATTAAGCTCGGCATCCACGAAGACGCCCAGAACCGCCCCACTCTGGCCAAGCTTCTCCGCTACCAGTCCACCAAGTCCGGTGACGAGCAGACCTCGCTCGCTGACTACATCACTCGCATGCCCGAGCACCAGAAGAACATGTACTACATCACTGGCGAGTCCATCAAGGCTGTTGCTAACTCCCCCTTCCTGGACACTCTCAAGCAGAAGAACTTCGAGGTTCTGTTCCTTGTTGACCCCATTGATGAGTACGCCTTCACCCAGCTGAAGGAGTACGATGGCAAGAAGCTCGTCGACATTACCAAGGACTTCGAGCTCGAGGAGACCGAGGAGGAGAAGACCCAGCGTGAGACCGAGGAGAAGGAGTTCGAGGACCTCGCCAAGGCCCTCAAGAACGTTCTCGGCGACAAGGTCGAGAAGGTTGTTGTCTCTTCCAAGCTGGTTGGCTCTCCCTGTGCCATCCGTACCGGCCAGTTCGGCTGGTCCGCCAACATGGAGCGTATCATGAAGGCCCAGGCCCTCCGTGACACCTCTATGTCCTCTTACATGTCTTCCAAGAAGACTTTCGAGATCTCCCCCAAGTCTCCCATCATCAAGGAGCTTAAGAAGAAGGTTGAGGCCGATGGCGAGAACGACCGCACCGTCAAGTCCATCACCCAGCTGCTCTTCGAGACTTCCCTGTTGGTCTCTGGCTTCACCATTGAGGAGCCCGCCAGCTTCTCCGAGCGCATCCACAAGCTCGTCTCTCTCGGCCTGAACATTGACGAGGACGAGGCCGCTCCCGCCACTGAGGCTGCTGCTCCCGCCGAGGCTACCGGCGAGAGCACCATGGAGGAGGTTGATTAGATGCATTCAGTCAACTTTCGTTTTTGCTAATTTAAAGTCTTACGGGAAATGGGAAACGGGATACGACCCTCTGTGATGTTTTTTTTTATCTCTTCTTTTTTTATGTGTTCTACAATAAGAACTGGCATCTTTTATTATTTTCAGGACGTCAACGGAGTAGACTGTAGCGAACTGTCTTGCTGTAGTTGTGATCATCGTAGACTTTTTTTTTACACCTCTTGAAATGCACATGGCATAAATATATGCAATCTAGATGACATTTCAACTTGAGTTTCCTGTTTACAAGCTTCCATTCAACCGTCTCTCTGATGCCTCTCATGTCACACTGCCTACGTTACATGGCAGACCACACCTTTACCTCGTGCAATACTTTCTGTTTACCTTTTGGCAGGTTGAGTGGGAACACATTCTCGGCCCTAATTTTCCAGAATTCACATGGTGCTGATTCTATTTGCTCAAATCCGGCTTTCTTCATGTTACAATATATTCTTACAAAGACAATACAATTATGTCAAATGGGCGCGTAACTCAGTTGGTAGAGTGTTCGCTTTGCATGCGAAAAGTCCAGCGTTCGAATCGCTGCCCGTCCACTTCTATTTTTTTCATTGCTGATATTTTCATCCAAGCGCCCAACACCAGATTAGCTTTTCGTATGGAAACTGTTCTGTGGACTTTTTTGAATCACGAAAATAGTTTGATGGTCTTTGTTTACTTCCTAGTGGTTTGCGAGCGTAGTGCAAATGATTTTGATTGTTATTGGAAATTCGGCATTTCGGATTGATATCCTAGTTGATACACAATCCATCCCGCATAACCATTGTGTATTGAAAAAGTAGAAAATAGCCGTGTCCGAGTGGCTGGTCTGGTGATAGAGTGTCGGGGAATACTTGGTCATCTGCATAGGATAAGGAAGGTCTCTACTATATACAGTTTCACTGCCCTTTTAAAAGAGTTCCGAGTATTTACCCTACGAAGGCGAGTAGAGATCTTCCGGGTCCTGGTAAAACCCCTCTGTTACTTCCTACTGGGTTTCATCACCCAATACCACTTGGTGTATGTTCACTATAGCGAACCAAAGAATACTTTCAAAATGCTCCTCATTCCAGTCGCATTTCTCATTATGCTAGTTGGTATTACTGTGAGTTATCTGCAACCCTAGAGAACTACCACTCTTGTGTGTGGCACTACCTTGCTTCAAATGCTAGGTTTCTTTGAACTTTGACTGCGATACACGCGTCATAGCCAAACTCAACCGCGTGGAATCTGAAGGGCTTGAAAATTTGATCTGTTCAGAGACATTCAATGGATTGCCAGACGTAGCTCGTCGATTTCTTTGTCACTTAAGAGGTCAATCTGGGCGTGTTCCTTCCTCTACACAGATAAAGCGAAGGAGAAGGGGGAAAAAAACATACAACAGCGAGGATTCGCTGGTGGTCACCCACCCAACTACTAACTCACCGGTGGGTGGCTTATATACGGTCAATAGCTCGGCGGGTGTCGCCTGGGTGAGAAACAGGTGAGCGCTGCTAGGCCTTGACAAGTCCCGCAGCACCAA